ACTAATTAGTCAGACTAGTTTTCTCAGTTTGTTTCCCTCGGGTCAATTCGCCCATTTTAAACACATCAAGTCCATTTTAATTTGTGATACGAATTCTGCCTAGATCAACTGGTAGTACATATGTACATATATGCACGTAGGTATATAATGTACGCATCGGAGGGTTAAATTAAAGGGTGAAGTGAAGAAGAATGAATAAGATTCCACTGATTCGAGTATTTAATATAATAAGTCGTTGTATTAAACTTTATTTGTCCATCCGACCATTTTTATGTGCTTGCAGTCCATCAGACTTTAATTTAATTTTTTTCTTAAACTTTGCTTCAGTTTATTACACAAAATATAGCAATAACAATCTGCTAGCCAGAGGGTGGGAGGGAGGATGCAAAAAAGGAAGTAATTGTGGTTCTCATTTCTGTTAATTTATTTACTTATAAGAAATTAATAGGTTGCAATTTATTCGCATTGTCGTAAAAATGCATATTTACCTACAACATACAAACTCTGAACTCGCCAGAAGACCTCCGCACATAAATAAATACCTACACATGCCACATGCTGCGGTGGTTGTGTTAAATGTGTGTGAAGATTTTTCGACTCAATTGTGCCGAGTGAATTTTAATTTGTTTTTATTTATTATCTTTAAAGGATTATTTATTACGCGTTAATATCATCAAAGTGAATTAGTTTTATGGTTTAATTTCATTCCTGACACTTCCATTTCCTTTCTGCATACGCGTTTTTGTGTGATATGATGTCAAAATTTAACGTTTTATTAATTGCCGGATTCTGAAATTATGACTACAAATGCAAATATAAGTCATGCATGACATTGGATGATGAGTAACGATGAGAAATTAGCGAGAATGTTTTCTTAAGAGTTTTGATTTTACAACTTTAACAAACATTGAAACTTATGCATCGTTTAAGTAATAATGCATTGGCACAAATGATAAATCTTGATGAGCTGTAATAAAAATACCCACCTGAATATGTCCGCCGTATTTAGTTCCGGCATAACGAACAATAAATACATATTTTATGCGCTACAAATTGAAATTAAATAGAAACACCTCAAAAATAATGCTCGTCAATGAAAAAGATTAGAACTTTCCTGTGCAAATTAAATGCATAGTTGTGGCTTGAAAGTAGAGTAAAGCTATAATTTAATTAAACGTTTAGCTTATCTACGTTTAAGTGGTATTTAGTATGACAGCGACGAGATGTCGAATGTGCAGTACAAATGGCATCCTCATTTGAAGTTACATTCAACTGACGATAACTAGTCGAGGTCCACCTTTTCCTCGTTTGATCCCATTTAATTCGTATTTACTCAGCACTTTATTATTACATATCTTGGTTATCTCATTGCGTTTTTTCTCTCTCGTTTACTTCCACGCAAATTTAAGACCAGCAGCATCAGCTCCTTCAGTGAATACCAACGCTTGCTTATTATGCTATCACTTACCCTTTACTTTGTTCTCAGGAGGAACATATTTTCTTTGTTTTAGAAGAGCTTTTGTGGATTTTATGCTTGTGAGAACACGCACGCAACCGAACAAAGTCAAAAAGTGACCACCAACAGCGAAGTTTGTTTAGCTGCTCATTTTCACGGAGAATTCGAGGCATTCATTATTAAAGTGGGCATGGGCTTGACTTGGCGATAAAGTGAATTCATACTATCTCTTCTTCAACGTGCTCCTCAAGCTAACTATGAAAAAGCAAGGTTTATGAACTGAATTGACATCGTTTACGTACATATCTACACATACAGATATCTACATACGTACATGCAGGGAGAGTCGGGTGGGTGGAGAGAGTCCTATTTTATACGGATCAGGAAACTTTTACGAACCTGATGCATATCCATATCCAGCATCTTATCAGTTTACATGTCTTACTTGATGCCCTGTGGTCTCAGAGCAGCAGGGATTCTTCCGTTCATTGGGCAATAATTATTTGCTTTATTAAAAAAAATCTAAATTGGAAACCGTTTAATTCCCTGTTAAATCCGAACGAGTGAATTTATTTAAATGGTATTGAGGAACTGTGTTTCATTAAATTTGTGGATTTTCACGCAAATAAATGATCGATTTGTTCTAATGTGCATCAGCAGATTGATGATTAGCTTATGTATGTAGGTAAAGTGATAAAGGAAACAAGTCTCGATCAAGCAATGCCATATTAAAATATGAACTAATGCACTTGCTGTGTGTTCGACGTTACGAACCAGTAAATATTATCGACAGTCGTATTAAATATTATTAAATCAAATCGAGAAATCAATGCTTTGCAAGAATAATACAAGATAATTTTACTAATTGAGGAAAATTAATTCATTGTGTATCACATTATTACCCATAATTATACAGTACAACCAGTGCAACCTGCTCTCTTTCGCTGTATGGATCCACGGGCAATTAATTTTTCATAAACTGGCAGTGCATTCTCAATTGCGGAACACATATGTACATATGTATGCACATATGTATGCATACGTATATACATGGCATTCAATTCTAGTTCGAGAACTGGGAGATAATTGCAGTCGTAAATTTTAAGGATATGATTATTAATACCATCAGCTCCGCCAAAAACCCACTCACTCACCCACCATATTCACTATTCTGGTAATGTTTTTGGGAGGATGCACAAACCAACTATTGAAATCGGATGTCAGAATTAGAACATGCAACCACTGTTTTATTCAGTATTTTTTTTACTATGTGCAGTGAATGCCCCCAGCAAGATCAAGTAATATTCAGCTAATCCAATTTGTTATTATGTGCACAAACAGAACCCAAGTGTGATTGAGGCTGGCTGTGCGAATGTTTATGGGAATCCCGACAACTAAATGTGGTAAGATGAGTATCAATTCCATATAATTAAATATTAATGTTCTCCTTGTTCCTCCAAGAAAAACATGTTCCCACCTGAAACACTGCAGTAGAAGTTTTACAAATTGTCGGCTAAGAAGAGTTCAGAAGCCCTCTAATTATCCACAGTTAATGGACCAATGGCAATTGTTCAGCTGACTGTTGATAAAACCATTATTTGCTCTGCTTTTACACTTTTGTGTAAACTCGTCAGAGCTAATAATGGGCCTTGTGCACATGTAGCTGCAGATAATTCATTAGCAAATTATAACCATTGTGCGAAAGTTGATGATTGAAAAAATTAATGTTGATCTATATTCTTCATTAATAAGAACTAAACGCAAAAGAAAAGCACCGCACAGGTATTCCCAGCACTTGAAATATTCAACGATTCAACGAAAGACTTCATGCTTCCTAGAAAATCTATTTTACATAAATATTTTTAATGCATATCAGTGCAACCAGAAGAAAAAGATCTGTGCTGATATCTTATTATAGTTTTTTTAGCAAGTTAACTAGTCAAAAAAGCGCTGATTTGTTTCGCTGACCCGAAAGATTGGCAGTAAATAAATAATTTCCCACGCTCAACACGGCAAACATTTACTGAAGGAGGTGGAAGGACACATCATCTTTCCACACCACAAAATCGATGAGAACTACTTTGGGAGCATGTTAACCGAGTGGCTAACGTGCAAAGTAATTGCAGGCGATGTCATAATTCTTCAGCGTATTTATGTAGGTATTTCTATTGGGTTAGCGTCGCAAGTAAGATTTTCGCTGCGTTACTAATTTCATTGTGTCCAAATTGTCTCAATAATCAGTTGTTGCGACATGGATCTGCTACCCTAATATACATAAGTCTTGTATATATTTAGCTTATGAACTCATCACAAGCTGTGATGGCCACTCGACAAACGACAAACGTGTAAAACTGCATGGGAACTGAAAATAATATGCACGGATAGTAAAGAGATTTTCTAGTCTTATATTGCCCCTGAAATCTTACGCTACATTTTTACGTTTGTTACAAATTCGTTTTGCTCACAAATATCTATAAAATAACTAATAAAATTATACTTTTGACATTTTCAAAAATTTCTAGGCATGCAAATTAATTTATTGAGAGAAATCTCACTGCCTAGGAGTTGACTGTCAAGTCAATTGAAGTGCTCATAATCAGAAGCGCATTTTGTATTGCTCTGTGCAGTATGAATCATTGGAGAATAGTCAACCCTTTAAATTGCACCAATTAGCAATTATACTCCTCCAGTGAGATAGTATTGGGTAGACAATATTAAGGTGAATGCTCCACTTGCTTTTACCGAATCAATTAGTGAAATGTTTCATTTATGCCCATGTGACTGTTACGACGACTGCTGGTCATTCCAGCTAAAACAAAAGTAATCAAATTTTGGACAGACTTTTGTACATCATGACATCACGAGAGAGTCATCAAGTCATCATTGGATGGCTCATGCACCTGTTCCCCAAAAAGTGGAAAGTAACAAAACCATGCCGGCACATTTTCATGGCAGTTGTTGGCTCAAGTTGTTGGTCGTCCACTTATGTAAATGTATTTCTAGCAGTAAAACAATATTTTCTATGGATTGTCATGTCGCATCGTGGTTGTGTCACATCACTCGAGCAAGTACCAGATGACACTCCTCTGTGTTATTTAAGACTTGTTCGTGCAATAAAATATTTCATTCATGTTATTACATTAGTGGAGACGAGTGATTTGTAAATGTGTTGGAGGAGGAGGATGCTATCTCCATTTCGTTGCTGCATGCATGACCAAAGGGACTAAATAACTATATGTAGGAACATCATCGTACCTTTGTTACCTTATTCTCGTATGCACGGTAAGCTCATACGTAAATAACCCTTGTTTTTGTACACCTCAGGGATATGTATGTAGAGTGTACGTGCATCCTGCCAAAGCAAAATTAGGAAATTAAAATGTCCGCAACATCCAACCCAATTTATGTCTCTCGTGAAAGTAAAAATAATTCTCCCCAGTTTGTCGTGGGCGAAAGTTACGGCTATCAAATGCAAGTCCAGCTTTCCATTATCATGTTACTTATGCAGAGTCAGAAATAAAGGAGGATACAAATACGTCACTTGTTTTATTTCTGACCAATAATCGACCTATTTTTATTCATTCATCGACTTTAGTGTAACATTCTAATTTTTTGCTTGGTTTATAATTTGGATTGTAAATGAATGCTTGCAACTTGTCCAACACAATATAACCGAACATTATAATATTGCATACTTTGTGATGTAAACAAAACAGCAGTGAATCACAGACACATGTGTCCCTGTCGGTTGGTTAAAATACTCGTCCAGATCTGATCTTTCGTTTGCGGTTGACTAAATAAAAATAGGTGGTAAGCGTTTTCACTCTAAAAGCTACGCAGCAGCAGTAATAAATTATTATATTAAATTAAATCAGTCGGGGTAAAATTGGAATTAATTATTTTCCAACTCTCGTACATTAGTATTTGCACATGACACTTTTACTGACACGATGATCGCTAAAAATTTAGGTAATTGTCATCTTTAGTTTACAAGAGTTACTTGCTTATATATTAGGTAATTCTACAATTAATAATAGGAGAGGATCAAGTCTATCACGACGGCACACTACTACAACAAAAACGACAATATAAATGCTTTCACCGGTAATTTTTTTGCTATCCTCCTCCAGCTACTCTGGTACTCGTTTAAGTATAATACTGATGGCATCATTCACATTTTGTTCGAAGTAAAAAAAAATTATAATCCTGACAAATGTTTACCAGAGAACAACATGGCAGCGGCAGGGTTAGACATATTAAGTCCAGGATGGCCGGGATAATGTCCTGAAGACGGACTTATTGCACCACCACCCCCACTTTCCGCAGATGCTGCCGCCGCCGCTGCGGCTGCTGCCAATTGCAATTGTTGTTGATGATGATGGTGGTGATGGTGATGTTGGGCAGGGTTGGGTGCGCCAGTCCCATTCCCAAAGTACTGCTGATTATAAAGTAATGACTGTGCGGAGAGGAACGCTGCGGCGTAAAAGGGATAAGATGGGAGGAGGTTGCCTGCAGAGACGGCCACCACTCCAGGAGATGGCCCATTGTTATTGTACTGACCATTTCTCGGGGAGGAAAGTGAAGGGGAAGGTGAGACTAACAAGTTTTTCCGAGGAATTGTGACAGGACTGTGAGATTGTGATCTCTCGCTGCTATTGTGAGAATGATTGCTCTCGTTGTCATTTTCGTTTGTGGAGAGGTTGTCGAGATGAATGAGTCGATCGTCCGTTGCAGCATCCGACATTGAATCTGAGAGGATGGAAGGCACTCTCCCTTCCTCTTCTTCGTCGTCATCCATGACGATGTCTTCATCTTCCTCGTCATCGTCTGACTTTTCATTCTTACAACCATGGTTGTTATTAAGTTTATCACTCCCGCTAGAGCTGTCTTTTCCACTTATGACAGCCTTCCTGTCCTTGATGTTCTTGTTGTCGGTACTATCCTTATCTTTGGCTATTAGATTTTCAATTGAAAAATTGTTGGAATTACCACCTCGTCGCTTGCCCCTCTGTTGGTTAGTGAGGAGTGAGTTTGCGGAGGATGACTTTTCTCTCGGTTGCACGTCTTGGCCAGCAACCTTCATTGTCTCCGAGTTCACTGCAGGAGGGGGTGAGTGGAGGTGGGGGTGAGATGATTTTACGAGGACATGGGGAGGAGGAGAAAGGTCCAATTCTGAGAGTGGTTTGATCCGATGTAATTTTCCAGACTGTTCTCTCAGAGATCTGATTGCACGAGTGGCTTCTCGAATGTCGTCCAAATCTTTTGGGGACATTCCTACAATATTTGGCGGCGGCCCTGAATGGAAACCTTGCTGAATTCCGTTGGAGAGGTGGTTGGGATGTTGGTGTGGGTGAGGATGATGGTGGATTGCATGATGGTGTCCATACAAATCACGAGGATAACCTGCTGCTGCGGCTGCAGCCAGGAGTCTCGCATCAGAAATGTTGCTATTGAGGAACATGGGGTGAGATCCGAAGGCTATGGGTCCGAATTGATGGTGGCCTCCCATGTGGGAAAATTGAGATGACATGAAAGCAGAGTTTGGAATCATACCCGGAATTGGTGGGGACATGGACATGGAAAGCCCGTTATTTGGGTGAGTTGCAGGCGGGGTTGTGGTGGTAGTTGGGGATGAAGGTGTCGGAGTAATTGAGGTCATGGGGCCCGGAGAGGACGAAGGGAATGAAGAGCCCAATGTCTTTTGGAGAAATTCTTTGTCAACTTTTGGCAACTTGAATCGCTTTCGTCTTCTGAGAAATGAGCCATTCTCAAACATGGAGAGTGCATTGGGGTGAAGGCTATATGGAAATTTTGAGATTAGTCACCCGTTGAAATTGTTTTTATTACATAATGCCGTAGACCTAACTTTGGATTTGATCTGTGCATGATTAGGAAATTGGGGAATAACTTACGTCCAATAAGCTCCTTTGCCAGGTCGATCCGGCCTTCGTGGGACCTGTTATATTTTAAATTATTTTAAGGGTACATTATTAATACTGTTGGCTAGATATTATTACTGTTGATATTATTACCTTCAAAAAGCAGTCGTTGAAACTGCAAATTAAAAAAATAATTAATTAGTACATGTGTAATCAGAATGTGCAGGCACACCCACTTAAACACACAAGCATACATGCTGTCAAAAATCGTCAGTCTTTCTGGGATAAAATGTGGTCCTCGGTCCCCCCGAAAATGTCGTCGCAACTGACCACGTCAGCTTTATTCAACTTTATCCATCCTCATCAGACATATAAATCCCAAATGTCATTGTCAAGTAAGCCATTTCTGCGTATGTATTTTCACAAGAAATGCATTTCGAATGGAACTATAAATCACGCCTTCACTAACCTTGTCCATGCAACACTACGCAAGATTCGTCAAATAATTACACTATTGAACGCCAGAAAAATACGGAAATTATAAACCAAGTAGAAAACTTTACCCCTAAAGAGTTCAGCTATTGGACAAAAAGGCACAAAAGTGGAAGCAAATTTGGGCAACAAACAACAGAGTTGGAGAGAGCCGTGAATAAGAGGTACGATAAGGACAGACTTTGACGAGCAGAAGAAATTGCTGCTACTAAAGGGGCCAAAGACCCAAGTCTTTGAGATGAAGAAAGGAGGCCCTCCGAACCTATCGGGACGAGAAAAATCGCAAAACTCACCCCAAATTTGGTCAGCCCCTGACTAAAAGGCTAAATCAACCCACAGGTGGCGCAACTCAAGGGCTGAAGAAAAGAATACCCTTAAAATGTTACAATGTCCGAACCAGAATTGGCGAAACTAAAAAAGAGACCAACTTAAAAGACCAATCCAAAAGCAGTGACACCACTTGAACGAGCTGCTAATGCTCTGAGGAAAGAGATGAATATGAACAAGAAGACCCAATTGACGCAGGAACAACACGCCAAATCAGATTCCCAATAAACATTTCAACATCCAAATATGAATTCAAAAAAATATTAAATCCACGACAATAAGTTTCCCCATTACATACTTACTCACCAACTACTTTCTTACTTTCTACTTTTCTACAAACGGCCCCCATTTATGAATCAAATTTTGTTATGAATGAATTAATTTTTTATGAATCTATAATTATTGTACAAATTTTAGATGAATTTTATTATGAACTATATTATATGAACTATTATGAATTATGAATTATTAAGTGAAGCGACCCACTATATATAAAAAAGCGTGCATGGGGCAACATGGCGAGAGGGGTCGACGTCCCTTGCCATGGATATCAGGACCGTCTCGTCGAAGCAGGTACATACATACATATATTGCTAATTTAGGGCAAAATATAGCAAATTTGAGGTATTTAAAAACCCACCTTAAATTGTGGCGAAGCGAATTTTGCCAGCGCTGTGTGTTCTTCCTGTAAGAGAAAGCGACAGGAAATGATTAGTTCTTTATATATATGTACTAATATGTTGTTAAATTTCCAAAAAATGTGTACATCGCTGTTGTATATCTTGTCATTGGTGTATAACAATTGCAACCCATGGTCAAGATTTTCAAATAATGTACAGCATAGTTTGGTAAAAACGTATCAATGCAAACTACTATTTTGGAAGTTCAAAATATGATTTACGATAATTTTGGCAAAGGTGAATTAGTAATTCTTACCGATAATACGGAAAGTGATCCATAATGAATTTATAGATGTCTGCCAAAGGTAGCATTTTTTCCGGTGAGCTCCATATTGCCATCGCAGTGAGCGAAATGTATGAATAGGCTGGCTTTTGACTGTAAGAAGAAAACGTTACATGAATTACCAATTTGCATGCATGTTCACCTTAAATTTGCAAAAAATGTGATAAGAAATGCACTACTTTTGGTAGGTTGACAATTGCACGATTCATAAAGATAACAAATGTGAATGGACATTTCACCGGCCCGAAAAGCTCATTAAGCACATAATCGAATTACAAATGAATAGGATAAAAACTCTTCTTTAAATTAAAAAAACAATCTTTACTACATACAATTCTGCAACCTTTAAAAACGCAAAAGTTAACTTCATAACTTACTCTCCATAGCTTTCTCTGGATGGCCGAGGCATTTCCGCAAACGAAGGAGTACGTAAAATGTAATTAAATGTCACTGAAACTTTTATTGAATCCACCACTAAGAACGTTCTTGTGTGAGTATCTGGCGTACCGGATAAAATAGTCTCATCTTCAGTCAGTTTTCATCTCACATTTCCCAATTATCCAGATTTTATCAGATGAACTGATTATTCGGTTTTATTTTTCCATCAACAAGTCAGTCAAGATTGAGATCGTTTTTCAGTCAATATTCTCGTTTAGTAAGAAGGGATTCAAGTTTGGTTTATCTGCTCGGATGAAATACGTGCATCCTATTGTCATGAGCAGTGCTGGAGAATATTTCACTTATTTGCTCAAAACTGGTCACATCACTTAAATAGAACGCTCTGTACTATTACGTACTGTATTTATATTAAAATTGTCGATCTATGTATAATACTTTGTATTAGCACATCACGAATGATTATGTACTTGTTGAACCAGCGAGTCCTTGTTGGGCAATGAGGATTCTTTTTTGAACCCAATGGCTAATATTTGGATTTGACGAAAAGTGGCCCTGGCCAATATTGGGTTAGGCTTTCTTTCTCTGGTTCCGGTAAAGCACAGGGTTGAGTGAGGGTACCCTGCTCGGACACGGAGAGACCTGAGGTTGTTTTCCTTGTTAGACTCTGAGAGAAACTAACTTTACTTAAGGGTGAATGTTGAGTATACACGGATTAGCAGAGGGGATTGGGATGTGGATTTCATCGTGGTTGGTTGGTAGTAGAATTGGCTTTGCAAAGCTTTATTGTATCATGTTGAACAAACCAGAACGCCACGGAGAGGAGATCACTTCAACACTGAGCAAACTGGTTATTGTGCTTCTTTACTCCAAGTATAATATTTACTTGCGCACCCCCTCCCGCTACATGCGCCTTAAACAAAGCCACACCTAAATATTAGTTTATTGGCCCAACGAGCCTCCACCCATCGGGGGAAGGGGGAGGCGCTTGCTCCAACGTTCTTGAGATCTCTCGCTATCTCAACCTTTTGTGCTCGTACAAATTCATCCACTTTTTACGTAATGCATAACCAAGAGTACAATCACACTCACAACTGCCTTCCTTACTTACTTACATCATCACGGGCTAATTTACAGATTAGATTGCTTTCTGCGTGTGTTTTCCAGGCCCAATATTCGAAATATTCGAAATACTGGGCACAAATAAAAGTGTAACACTATGTTGAAAGTTTTGTGGTGGGACGAACAGAATCGAAATTCTGTTGAGCTCGGCTTCTCAACAAAAAGCATAATATTATTTACAACGAGAGTCTGTCCTCTTATTGCTACTCCGGCAGTGTTTGATTGCTATGTAATCTTGCTAGATAATCATGCATGTTCTTGAAGTAATGTACCTTTCCCTGTGATTCAAAGTAACGCATTTACTCGATCTCGCTCTTCGTCAAAGCAATTTCACGGGACAAATGAGAGAGGAAGGAATAATTCAATTTTAATGCCGGAATGACTACATTATTTTTACACATATGTACATAACTGCTGAACAATAAAGTTGTGAGAGTGGTAGAGTTATTATCTACGTATGTACATACATAATGTAAATATATACTTCTGATTGATATAGGAACATGATATTAACATGATAATCACCTTTGGGATTATTAAATCGTTTATTAATTTGCTCATTTCATTGACCTTGGTTATTGGTGGATATAGGAGAAAGTTTTTGTATGTTCGATTCTGCTAGAGTTACAAGTTGCAGGAAACATGGTTGATTAGGATCGGATTATCCATCGAGACATTTTATTGTTTCCATTCATTATTTTCAAGTATTATTGCACAACATTTGTACATGCTGGTCATCTTATTGTTATCTACAAATTAAATACAAGAAGTATGCGGACATTGTCTTAACTATTTAAACAGTAATTTACTTTGTCCGTATACTTTATTCATATGCATTCAATAACTTTCACTAAATTGATAGATTTGAATCGTAATAAACTTTTCCTATTATTCCTATATTAAGGTTCAGCTACTTAAAGATATGCGCTAAACTGCATTGGATACATCTCACGGAGTTCTAAAATTACTTCTCTCGGAACTTGGTTATCTCGATTTCTGCTTCGACATTTCAATTACCACTTTATTTCTCGACTTATGGCCAACACGTTACATTTTGGTAGCGATAACTTAACAGGGATCATGGATCATACAGGGGAGGCTCAAAAATGTCGAAATTTTAGTTTTGACGATTAGACGTTCTTTGGGACGAGGATTTCAGAAAACACAGACATTTCGACCTTAACAGACCCTGCAACCGCGAGGACGGGGTCAAAAGTAACAATGTCGAAAATTTAGTTCTGGCGAATTTATTTAAAGTGGGGAACACGAAGTTCTGTGTAATTTTTAGTTATGACACATCCCACGCGCTTCAGAGGGAGCAATAGATTTTGTCTAAACAAAGGTTTCGATTCGATTGTTTTCTCATATCTACGCCCCATCATACACATTTTATGCCGCTTTCAGTAGAACGAATTTTCAACGGTTTTACCCCGTAACTTGTTCTTATTTTCCGGTTTACGCGTTGCATATCTTCCTCGTACACAGTAGAGGTGAGCTGGCCGATAATTCATGGCACAATCCAACTGGATTTGGATGGCTTAGGTCTGAAATATTTTTTTGGGTGAAATGAATTTGGACGGATCGGATCTCAAAAAATGATGATCCAGCTCACCTTAAGCACACAGTGTTTTACGTCGAGCTGATTTTATTTATTTATCTGCTATAGGTTTATGAAGGTTTAAAAACAGACAGCCAAAAATTCACATTTGTGACGTGAACTGAATTGACTTGTGATCGTGAAGGATGCAGAATATTTCAATGCCATAAAAGACACTTAGACTTTCCAGACCCCCATGCTCAATCAGATTTGTAGGTATTGTGCGAGGTCTCTTACATTCGGAAAACGGGTTATTCAATTTGACATGACATAATAACACTGAAACATGAGGCATAATAACAAATCACTTTAACATGTCTGAAGAAGTCAGCTTTAGTGTGCGACAAAAGCTTCCTAGTATTAATTTAATAAAGTCAATAAAAAACGTCATCATATGCCGTTGAAAAGTTATTAATTAAAAATCACTTTTGTTAACTTGATGTACAATTACGCTACGGATTATTTTAATTCTTAAATTTTTGATATAAGCAGACCATTTTCCACCATTGCAAAGGGTACACATGATAATGTTTTCACAAATTCTAGAAAATTAATATACATCATAAAACCATATTACTCTCAGCACTCTCGGTTTTTGACGGCGGATTTAGATCTTTGGTTTCAGAATGCGGTTTATGTTTACATATTCCTAAAAAATCTTTGTGCCTCGTAAGCACTCGTATAAACCTTTTGCATCTGTAAAATTTTGAAAAAGTGAAACTTGAAGGAAAGAAATTCTCACTGACACTCTCACTGCCTCAAAATATGTCTACTTGTTGTTCCGATTACCTTTTTGTTAAGGTGTGCTGCTAAAAATGTATGCGCCACAACCGATATCAAAGCCAGCCATGCATTAACAACTGGTAATTAATTGATATTAGTTACCCATGCTGGCCCAATTTGGGGTAACTATACTTTCACTTTGAAATGACATTATGTTGTGCCATGTATGCATTCTTGATTCAGATTACTGTGATCTGTAAATATGAGTGGTACGTACTCATGTACGTATAATTTTACAAAATTATGTTTTATTTAATATGGTCCAAACGTTTTATGTATATATAAATGTAGAAGCAATTTGGGTTATGAGTACTCATGTGGTTCTCAATAACTCTCATGAAACGTGCCCGATCGACTTAAAGCTTAGTGCACATGTAAATACTCTTATTGTTAGTATGGAGAAAAGTAGTAACCACGTTTAATATGATGAGCAAGATACACATTGGTGTCATCGGTATTTGGAGTAATTTTGGACCTTCCGATTAACCAAAATGTGATCGATCGGTATGGAAGACATGCAGCTAATTGTGGGGTTATCGATGTCAAATATTTGAAATGCTCGTAGAAAGCTGCTATTCTTAGTAATTAGTGTAAAACTAATGATGAGACTAAAGTGTTATAATGATCATTAGAGAGACCCGAAAAGGCGACTCCGACTGGAAACTCGTCGTAAAAGTGGTTTGGCATGAAAATAAATAAATGTGCACAGTGCGACCACACTGACAGAGTGACCCCTGGGGCCAAACAAATTAAGCTTAAGATGTCTGCGAAAATTGATGCACAATATGATGCCGCTTTTGTAAAATAGACCCTGCCTGGTTTTACGACTGTTCTTTCTCGCACTTTGATTTTTCTTTCACAATCTTGTCTTTCTTCTTGGTTTCTAATTAATTAATTATACAAAATGGTATGATATGGGGGTTGTTCCAGTCAGGTCTGCTGTCAAATATTTCGGTTAACAGTAGGTCAGATATTTTTTTTTAAATCGGAAGTAAGCAATAATGACACTCCATACTCGATTTAAATAGTAAGCTTGTACTAATAAAGATTTTTATTAAGAATTAACTTACAAGTTTGTTTTTTGTTAACGTATGTTAATGTATTGTTAACGCAGCGTCACATCGAAATAAAATGGTGTATGAGGTGAAAAGAATGGTCCGGCGGGGACATACGCAGGCTCGGAATCGCTTCTCAAATGAAACTTGAACTGCTTTAAAACGAACGCGGACAAGAGGACCATGGTCTCGTTAGAGAATCGCTGTCCTATACAATTTCTTGGCCCATGTCCAAAAGATGTCAAGGCATAAGGGTGCAATTTGTCCTTATTTTTTGGCATAAATCTTTCTGGATCAAACTTCTCTGGATTGGGAAAATACTTGGGATTTCGATTTGCGGCCCAAATTGGAATAATCATGGTCATTCCTTCTTTAATTTTAAGATCAAACTCCTTATTTTCCCAATCCTTGGTGCAAACTCGTTCCGTTCTGCTAAAAAATGGGACAAGCCGAACCGTTTCAGTAATACATGCAAAGAGGTACTGCAACTCGGAAATATTTTCATAGTCAATTTTCCCATTGTGCTTCTTAAGGAATTGGTCCAATTCTTGATAGACTTTCTTTTCCACCTCCGGATTTTTCAGCATGTTGTTAATCATACACGAAGCTATTGAACTCATTTGGTCCTGTCCAGCAAAGAAAAATACAAGAGCTTGGCAGATGATGGTCCGCTTCGTAATGTTCAGTCGCTTGTACTCCGGAGTGTCCAACTTGTCCATTTGCTCCAAACAAAGGTCGATGATGTCCCGTTTATTTTCGCCGCTCTTCTTCCGCGCTGCCATCATTTCCGAGAAGATCTCCCCGAAATCATTTGATAGCTTAGCGTTCATCATACCAGGCGCTATTTTTTGCAATATTGGAAACGAGTCTGTAAAGTATACCAAAAATAAGAATAAAATGTTGCAATAACCTCTAGCTTTTGCACTAAACTAATGAAATTGAATTATTAAGCAGCATACATGTCAATACTTCCAACATTGGATAACCCACGTTGTCTGGACTTAAGAGACCTCGCACAATATTCACAAAGAGATTTTGAGGATCACTGGGGTTTTCGATTTCAATCGAAAAGCAACATCGCGAAATCAAATCAGTTATCATTGAAAAATACTCGCTGTAACATATTGATTGCAGAATTAAGTTATCATCAGAGGTATTAAATAAGTTTATTATTTTACTATGCATAAGTAATTACCCGTGTAAATTGAATTTTTCCATTTTCTGTCCCGGACTACTTACAACTTCAGACTTTAAGTGGTCACAAAATCTTTGCAATGTGACCACCATTGAACCCATCATCAGCTTGATTTTTGCTGATGAGAATGCTGGTGTAAGAAAGTTGCGAACTACCTTCCATTTTTCATCTGCAATTGAAAATACAATGTAAGCTTTTACAGGATTTCATGGAGTATGAAAATACATACATATATGCATATATGTACGTACATGCTTGAAAATCCGGCATTTCATTGAGCAGTGGGTCTCGAAAGTCTAAGCGTCTTTTATCATTGAAATATTCTGAATCCTTCGTGGTCACAAGTCGAATGAGTTCGGCGTCACAAATGTGAATTTGTGGGTGTCTTCCTTCATAAACCTACGGATAAAATCAATCAACATAAATTAAAACAATCTGTCCAGCATGGTACAAAATTAACTATGTATTATTTATAAGAATTCAGTAATATTCAGTGTTTTACTAACTCCGTAAATGGGTCCAAATTTATTGAATCGTTCAATGTCCAAAGCTCCACCGGCTTTGCTGTAGGCATCGATAGTGTTCCCAAAAATTAAGAACGGCTTGCCAACCATTGGGATCCCAAGTTTTTCAAGTGTGCCATAGTGCCAGCGAGCATAGATCACTAATCCTACCAGGACCGTGATCAGAATAAACGCCAATACAAATGCCAGCATTTTTCTACGAGTATACGTATTTATTCGCACTTTACGTATTCACTGAGGGAGCTATAATTATTACCAACTGCTAACTATGTGTTACAAGCTCAGATACTACTTGATGACTGCCAGACAAGCCTCAATGACTGCCTTTTTATATGAAATCCAGTAATGCACGCGTAGATGCCATCTCACTACTATCTGCAACTCAAGTGCTTGTCATACAGTAATTACTTATGTAGATGGGCACTCTCATTGAATAATCAGTTAGTTTTTTATTGTTTGTTTATTTATTGCTTGCATGAAATGGAGGGGGTTACATATCAACGGGTTCTATTTAAAATTTCGAACCTTGAATTTGCATTATTCGAATTGCATATCGAGAATAAATATAATACTCTTGTGTTAATATCGTGATGCAATTATGCAATATAACAGTTGGATTTTATTGGAATCCAACACATCAGATCTGCCAATTGACCTTTCGTAATATGAGGGTCTAATAACGACCCTGTGACATTGTAAGGTTTATACGCAGGCCTAATCAATTACTCAACACACTTTGAGTATATGTTATCTGTCCCTACCGCAGGGAAGGGGTCAAAGGTCAAATTTTTAAAATTATGGCCTGGGCTATTGTGACTTATGTATGCAATTGACCTTTTAGAAACCAATGGGCATCACCCAGTTGGGTTCTTCCTCCAAGCAATAATTAGGTCGTTATGATATTATATTTTCAGTTTAGTAACTACAGTATGACTAATTCCCCGACTTTTTCTGCCAATCTGAATACACCAACGACCCCACTCGGGTACATATTTTCCCCCACCGGTCAATCTCTTACTTGACCGATTTTGCTTATCACCCAATTTATTCCTTATTTGACATGGGTAAAAATTTAAAGTAGATCTGATAAGCTTTAAGACAGTAATAACAAGATATACGGACAGGTTTTCAGACAACGTTCAACTCATTTTATTTAACTACATTTTTTTACGAGTAAAATATTGTTATTCAACATATTGATAACATAAAACAATAACTAAATTAAAGATCCATGTTTTGATTCCAATACGTACATATACATGTGATCTCATACACAATATGTCACATACATATTATGTAGTCAAGATTTATTATTGATCAACGTTAATCCTGGATGATTTTGGAGTAGTCTGAAACTCTTAATATACATTTTATCTACTTAGCTTAGATACAACTGCGATGGTTATATTTATCACATGCATGTATGTAATCATATATGCAACAAATTGATTTTAATGTTACTGTGGACTGCGTTTGAACTGCAAAAACACGACCAAGTAGGACGCCAGTTGACTGATGATCTGCAATATTTCAAGGTTGCTTAAACAACATTCAAGTTTAAATGATGAGCTACGCAACACGGTATTGTACCAGCAACAACAGCTTCTTGTTAAGAGATATAATGTTGGCGAATCTGATTTGTACTGGAGATGTGAAGATCATATTGCATAAAACGCTCATCTGAAAAGTATGTAAACGGGTGGATTCAAATGTCTAAAGGTGTTAAAAAAAGAAATGCTGACTTAATACCGAAATCTTACCTCAAATCGAGTTTTGTACGCATCATCATTTTTGCCCTCAACATGCTCCATATTAATATTTGTGTTGACTCGCATTGCAACCACATCCAATCCAATCTGATGCTCCTCCATCACAATCAGATCTGCCAATTGACCTTTTGCAAATGTTCTCAAAAAGGCGATGGCTAAGGCTCCCAAAGCATAAGGCATCATCGACCCCCCGGTTGTTTGCATGTTTTCCAGATACAAAGAAATGGCAATATAGGACAGACCAAGAACGGTAACGAAAGTAAAGAGGAGATCGTTCAGCTCGGGCATACTTCCAAATCTGACAAACAGGTCAACCTGGTCTCGCACCAACGTAACCAACTTGATCCATCCCTTCACATGGTGGTGACTCAAGTGACCATTAGTTTCCTTGGTCTGATGAGCTATAGCTTTTCTAATCTGTACATCAATTACAATTATAATTTGCAATATGCGCAAATCTAAGTAATCTCATGATATACGACAAGTATCAAAATAAAATTTACTATTTACCTGTCGATAAACACTTTTGATTGTCAGTAAACTCAAAAGAGTAACAATCGTGGACAGTACAAACGCAGAGGCCACAAACACTACCAAAGTTGTTTTTGACCAAAAATTGAATACCCAATTTTCCGTGAGAAGGAACCGTTTTGAGGTGGAATTGATTCTTATCATTGGAATTATGTAAGCTACCACCAAAAATGGGAAGATTACCCAATGCGACCGTTCCAATGCAACCAAGCGAAGTTTGTAATGGTTTTCAAACAGGACTTCAAATTCATGCAAAACAGAGGTCCAACCATTCACAAATTGAAGGATGGATCTCGTTCGAAGGCGGACAGCGAAAACGTTAATAAGTGCAAAAACTGGGATCGCAGTTCGGAAAACTTGATTCGCTCCAAGCACCCATGACGAAATGTTGAATCCAGCCGGATCCTGAAATAGATTGGATTTGTCGTTGTTGCGAAGAAATCTAAAAAATTTGTCAAAATTTATGAATCCATATTTACTTTACACGCGTATTATCTTAATTTCCATTTACATCTGAAACGGCCAATCTATACGAAACTCCCTGTTCAAAATGAATTCAAATGTTAGTACAGCCATAGCCAATAAGCTGCACCAAGAGTACACAAATACAGGGGAGCAAGGATGAAATTCGTAATGAATCATTCCGTTCGTCGATTTGATTGATATTGGCAGTGAACCAAGAATTTGCATAATTCGAAAAAGTGGATGGAATGCTTTTGCAATCAAGTAATTTTTCGAGTTAATAGCCAATTTATCCTTAATTGAACTAGCACTCTTGACAAAATTCGCCTCTTTAAAAAGGTACAAGTGCTTAAAATCATATGCAAAAGTTTCATCAAACTCTAATTCTGGGCTTATTTTTTTAACACGATCGGAAACCATTTCAAATTCAGAGACGGAAAAAATGCTGAACACAAGTTCTGATGAAACTAAATATGTATGCATGTATAGAGAAATATGCGACATAGTTTTCTCAATTCCACACAAATCGTCGTGCATGCCTAATTGGCTAAAGCAATTAAGTCAAGTGCAAACTGATCAAACAAGGGCTATGACGATGGAACTAATTTGTTGTAATATGTATGATTAGAAAAATAACTTTATACATGTATGTGAAACATTTATGTTTGTATTTAGCAAAGTATGGATCACTCATGATGTGGCGTAGATTTCTAAAATAATCTGTAAAGGCCATAATTCATCTTATTAATTTGTTCGCCTATATTATTATTGGTTCCCTTTATTATTTACTTAAATTAAAACATAACGATGTGGAATCACAAGAATTTATGGACTACGCTACATACATACATAAATTAAAACGACCGTTCACCGCCAACCGTTAGAAAATATATGTAAGTATGCACATATTTGGTTAGATTGTGTACAATTGACAGAAGAAGAGCAAAATTCGTGGATAAATAAACCAGCCTATTAAACAAACAAAATTCTAAATGCAGGACGTTCCGGTACAGTAATTTTTGTAGTCAAGTGTACGTACATATCTAGATATTCACCATTAAATCCAGATTAGTGCACTTGCTACTCATATAAAGCACAATATTCTTGTCATAGTGTCCTTTCTGAATTTTACTTTAGGAATTTTATTTATTTTCAAATGCTTAAACATACATCATTTGTGTGCGTACATAAATATAAATATTTGTAATGTGGCGATACGATTTAATAAATTATGTTTATCCAGTCAAATTGTCTAGCAGGGAAATAGGGAAGCTAGTTCAATATTGCTACACTATCCGAATTCTAAGAAAACAATAATAAGCTGCGATAATGGGTGGAAATTATTATGCTGTTTGCCGTTAAAGGAGGTATTCTCAGTGGTAGATTAATAGCTTTGTTCTAATTTCCGAACGTAATGCAACAAACGATAATAAATTAATAGATGCATGATTCGATTCAAGAATTTTGTATCGCGTGTCATCTGCCATTTTCTCTATCACAAAATTAAGCGATAAATATGTAAACACACATATTGATGATTAACGAGCTAAATAGTTGAGCTGTCGTACCTGTGTAACTAAAATGCCGTATTTGAATTAAGTACGTGTTTAGGGGTCCACTTTGTTGCACCATTCTTAGTTATGCAGTATAATCTGTTCTCAGGATGATACATATATACGTATATTTAGATGATGTATGTATAAATAATTACTTACGTTAAGCATAATAGACTTAAAGACTTTTATAATATAAAGATAACAAGAACTTAAAAATACAAATGCAAACCAAACAACCGCAAAGTTAATAAGTCACATAATTAATACTAAAATTAAGAAGTCCAACACATACATATCTTTAAGTGTACATATAATGAAAGGTGGATACGCTGTACAATAACTACTGACTAATCTGAAGAAGGTTCAATCTGAGGAACGTACTTGGTACGTTTATATACATAGGTCATTTGCTAGTGAATAGTTTATTAATTATTTTAATGACTTGTTTGCTGTTCCTTTGACCGGAGTGGGTGCTCCCACTCGACCTTTAAAGCCCATCATCGTCCCAGAAATTCCTAAAGCAGCAGCAACTCTCCGTCCCACTTCTCCTGGGAGAGCCCTAAATTCCAGAACATTGACACTCATTAATTGCCCAACAACGATTAAACACGACACATTAAAATAGTGATAGCAAACAATGTAGAACGGTATGCATGCGTGTGCTGTTAAATAATCGCGTGCTTGACGTGATCATTTTTTAATTTTCTGCACTTGGTTTAAAGGTGAATGTCACTAATTACACGAGTTTCACAATACTCACATCTTCATGCAAAGAAGGGGGTACAGCCAACGAGGCATCACAATTTGCTCTTGATTTGTCAAAATTCCTGCTACAATATCATTTACGGCGTCTACAGGCTTCAAAATTGGAACGATTCTAAAATAATTAAGAAATTAGATAGCATTTATGTGTATACGAAATATGTACATTTTTAACTCTACGCAGTGACGGTATTTTCATTTCAAAAATGTATTTTGCTTACTTGGAGCGCACCCCATCAAACATTCCAGTATTGATAAAGTAGGGGCAGACTACGGTCGTATAAATTTTGTTGTATCCTTTTTCGGCCTAGTGACAAAATTGTTAATCAAATTTATCCATGATTTCCAGGAGTAACTGCATCCTCCTTTCATGCAATAAACATACCCTCAATTCATTTTGAATCGATTCGCTAAGGCCAATAGCGGCATATTTTGAGGCGCAGTAGTCAACAAGACGATTGACGCCAATCAGTCCGGCGGTTGAGGCGATTGTGACGATGTGACCTGTGCCAGAGGACATCATGCCCGGCAGAAACGCCTTGATCGTCTGAAAAAAGTTCAACTCGCAAATTAATTTTGCACTTATTGTTTACACTTTGTTGAATATCATGTCAACAAAGTGCAGATCAGATGTAAATTTTGATATTCAAATATTTAGTCAACTACACTCTCACATTTGTGGTAAATCTATTTTTCATTGTTTCTTTTTTAAAATTACATATGTACAACTAATTTTTGATGGTTTTCATCATCAACTAACCTCGAATCTTTTTGTTGCAAAATTGTAATTTGTGCATGCTCAATTCGTATTAATAATTGATGCAAAAAGCTAAAATGGGTCACGAATGAACTTCCATTAATGCACATGTGTAGTAAAATGTTTTGTACATCCTTTCGCTTCGTTGCGCCCCAAAAACAAGTACTCATGTATTATCATCACTCTCTCAGAGTAGATCGCTGACTTATGGATGCATGCACATTTGTACTTGTGTATGTGTTGCATTCTTGCGTGTGGTGTACAACTCATCTATGCAGTCACTGTTGACTGTCAATATGATTAGTGTGCGCTTAACACTGTCATTATCCGTAAATTAAATTGTACAAAGTGTACAATTGCTGGATTTTCAACGCTTTATTTCAACCAAGTTAGAGAAACCCCGAGTACGTAAATGGTAACTAAAGCCTCTTGGTAATGCTTTATCGTACTTGTCATGCATGACGGAGACCAGTAAAAACAAAAATAACAAAGTCCTTCTTTGTGGGATTTCCTTCAATGTCAAAAAATGAGTCAAATCTTAACCTTGAGTTTGTCGGACCGACTGGAGGATGAAGGATGGAAGGGGAAAAAAGGTATTAATTATTGCAATGCTTTGCCAATCTAATCTGTTACACATACATACACGCACACAAATGTATGTAATCAGTGTCGTGCATTTTTTGCTGAATAAATGTGGCAAATGTGCAAGGTCATGCTATTAGCATCATGAAACAGTGGCAATACACACTGCAAACCTAGATTCTATCTAATCTTTCTTTCTTTCTTAATTAACAGAAATATTTATTACCATTTTGTGCTTACTTACCCAAAAATTGGATATGACATTGACTTGCATAGTCTTCTCAATAAGATGGTCTGGAGTGTCCAGGAATTTCCTTCCACTTACGATCCCAGCATTGTTTATCAAAATTTCGACCTTTCCTACCTCGGCCTTCACTTTATCTGCTGCTTCATAAATCGAAGCTCGTGAAGATACGTCCACCACGTACCCAGTAGCATTTCCTCCAGCCTCAATAATTTCCTTCACCGTCTCATCGTTTCCTTTTAAAAAAATATTGGCATGGTGAGCTCTTAACTGAAGATTAAGGAACCCAAAAATATGTATTTGCCACCAAGGTAAATTTTCTACCTTGTTTGTTAATGTCCCAGGCTACAATTGTGGCTCCGTGATTCAACGCCAGCTTTTTGGCCATCATCTTGCCAATCCCAGATCCTGCCCCTGTGATTAGAACGACTTGTCCGGAGACATCCTTGTAGCGAAACCTTCTCGGGATGAAGGTGAGGATGATGCTGACCGTGACACCGTACACGAGGTAGCACAGGGCCCACACGAGCTCCAGAAAGGTCTCCATGTCCGCTTGTAAATTGCTTTTAAGTCCTGAGAAATATTTCAGCCGGTTATTCTCAATGTTCACTTTCTCTGCTGGACCCAAATAGGTTGCCTGTGGGTCACTAACATTTTGGCCTTCGATCACCTCATTGTTGGCCTCAACAATGCTGCTGATATTGTTGTTATTATTTGGCTCTTTCTTTTCCCTATTATTGAAACTACTACTCCTGACCGACGGACTGTTTTCATTCCTATTTTTGTTATTACAATCCAGCAGCAGGGAATCCGCGGACTGTTTGTCTTTACAATTTGATTTGTTTACGATCCGGGTAACCGGGTAAGCAGGGGATGACATGTTGACTACAGTATGCACTTTCGGTAGTATGGTTTGTGGAAACTCGGGCTTCTCCCCGAATTCAGAGAAATTACTTATTCCTGCCAGTATGGAATAATTTATTTTGAGATACTTCCCAGTTAGTGCAAATAGCTTATGACGTGTCCGTTTCTGAGGAGTGACATTCACAAACTAAATCTTTTAAACCCATCAACATTGTTAAGGGAAAAGGTTTCCATTATTCCCTTCATCCCCAGCATTTGGAGGGGTGTTGTAGTGGATATGCGTTAAAATCAAGCACAATGCATACGTACAATAATAATAACGCCAGAATTGATGCCATCATGTACACATCCAGAAAACTGTTGTACAGCGATCATTTATGCAAGCAAGTGCAAGATCAAAGTAATTGAGATTCAATGCTGCCCCTGTCCCCCTGTGGAAAGGGAATAAAATAAAAGCACTCATGTACGTAAAACTGACACTTGGTGATGCAAAAATTATAAACTATCAAATTTTACACATGTACTTATTTTACTCAAGTACACAAGTACGTAGGCCAATCTCACGTTTCCACTCCTTGTGGATTGTTACACATTGCACAGTGCAAAGAAGGTTTGCTGTGCTAAAGTTATGTCATATTTCGTCTTCCTTCAAACTCATTCGAGTGCAGCTACATAAGTAGATGCGTTTCTTCTATATGGTTAGCATACTATTGAATCAATGCGTAATACGAAAGTATGTAATGCAATGCATACACACTTATTTTTGATGAATGAGGCACGTATTCATGTGCATTGATAAGTATGTACATGTACACGAAATTCCGTTCTCAACAACTTTTTTGCAGTGGTAGATTAATATATTCAGAATAATGCTAATGCTAAATAGTGCATTGTATTATTTGCTGTGTATGTATGTAATATACATATATTTATATCTTCAAAAAAACACAAACTCAAGCCCATCTCTCTGGCAGTACATATTTCTATCTGCAATTAACGTGTTGCCAATATTGCAACAAATTGATGCGGTCGATATAGCCTTTGGTTAGTAGACCTTTAAAAACCAGTTCTCTTCGCTGAAATCCCTGCTTGGTCAACGACAAGGTTGCGACACTGGGCCCTCACAAGGAATACAAGTGCAAGATTTTGTAAGAATGTATAAATTCTCATCTGCACTAATTGTATTCCTGTGCCCTTTGTGGTCATGTTTGTCCATACGTTTCTTGTTTTAATGACATCAATATTTAGCTACTAAGTTTCTTTGTTACGGCAAATTGCTTAAATCAGGAAGGCATTCAAGTCAAGAGTCACGTCTCATATTATACAAATATTGTATAAGAATATAAACAAGGTAAGGACAAGTATCGATACTAAATATTATTGGCTTGTACACGTGTAAATATAGGGCCGGTCTGGTAAGATTACACAATTTGTATAAGCCGGAAAAGGTTTTGGACATGCTGATAACCAATTTTTCGGACAAATCGGGGCTCACAAACTATACTTTTGGTCGTATTTGCATGCATGCATGTCCTCACTGTCAGTGCAATCATAACCTCTAAACTTGACAATTGCATTGATAATCGACTGCGTCCTCTTTTTGTTTACTTTGTGAAAAATGTCCTTGAATAATGACTGTGAACTTTATCCAGTCGTATAATTGCATAGTTAGTGTTGCATCAACTCGCATCACTATACCGGTTTACACATGCTACTTTTTTGGCGTTACAGATAATTTTTAGATGCAAGGGTAGGACAAGTTAGCCAAAAAAAAAATAAAAACGCAAGTTGCCTATGGTTCACACTTTTCAGCTTGCAGAATTTAAATGTGTATCTGCTACAATCAAACTCTTTGATGAAATCATTAACTTGAAGACATGACATATAGCATGAACGCGACTGAAATTGGGGAATGGTTAAAGTACCACGTTTACAAAAAAGCTATGCTGATGCAGGATAGAAAATTAAGGATTCCATTGCATAACACTCAATTGAGACAGGCAATATTTTTTACTAGTTCGACAGACAGATAGAACTTGCATAATTACATGAAACGCAAAGAAACGTACCTTCCCAATCCACATGATGAATATCTGAGAGCCCTCGATGCACAAGAGCGATCATTAGGGTAAGCACTACACCAGCAGACGTTACAAAGTACAAAAGGATCTCATTTTGGAAAAACAAATAAATGGAAGCGTTTTCTGTAGAATTATGACGGAAAAGAGTTTCCGATAGATTTGAAATGTGGTAAGATTTTAAGGCCTCCGCCATTATGCTTCCTATCACTCAATTTTATTGCAAATAATTAAAGCATTTAAAAAAATCAAAAAATTATCTGAAATGCTTTGTAATCAAACGTTTATGCACAGTATTTAAACTTCAGAATTTTATCTCAACAGACTTAAATGCAAACATCTAAGCCTCTATTGACTAATGTGTAATTATTATTAATGGTCCACTCTTCTTCGCACTCGTGTCCAAACTAAACGGATAATATAATATTAACTACAAGTGCGAAGACGATGTATCAAAGGTGCAAAAAAGCTAAAGAGATTCTGCATTTTTTACGTCGAGCAAATTGCATGTTGGGCAGGTTGATTCATTCAGGTATGTAGAACCAACAAGTATGTGAGAACCTTCAAATTAAACATTTGTATTGCTACCAACAAACGCGGTATGACTTATGACGGACGCCTTACTGCATTGCCTTGTATTTGCAACTGCATGTAATATCTGTCGGTAATGCTGTCCCGATATAGGATTTTTTGCATGTATGTATGTTTTAAATCATGTGTCCCTCAACCTCCTGGACTAGCAGTAAAGTCTTTTTTGCTGTGTGCTTCGATTTAAATTCTGTACTTATATTTTTGCATTTCGTTGAGTGGAAATAATATCGAGTAATATTATGAAGCATAATAAATAGATTTATTAGTTTTATGCACATATTTTAAATTAATCTTTTGGAAATGTTACAATACCTTTTTCTTCTTCTGGCCCCATGTAAATTCTTCTGTGTTTTTGAATGAGCGATGACTAGGGTCTAAGTCAATGTATTTTTTTCATACTCCGATCAGTCTGCTAATTATGATCCAACTGTGATCTCAATCGTAAAAGTTTTACCGTTATATTAGTTTTCATTCACTGGTAAGTTAATCAAATTGAAGTCCAACAGTCCAATAGTTGTGCAATGAGCATATGTATCCAATGCTTCACAGTATGCAGTTACGTGACAATACAGGAAAAGCAAATATCAGTTATACTTATCATGCCCAATGAAAATCGGATAACCGATGCAGATGGGTCTATCAATTATTTAGTGATTAATAAACTCTTAACGATAACATGTAGTAAATTCTACAGAACTTCACACCTTCTTAATAATTACCCTTCTACAAATTCAAAATATTTAAAGGCAGATCAACCGAATTGTTGAGACATGCATGCTCCACAAAAAATTATACGATGGTTCAAAATGCAGACTCCACGAGAGCATTTGTTACAGAACGAGACGCGTCGAATCATATCTATTTTCTCATAAGCACACAAATACATAAGTTGGAAAGTTGATGCAAGTACTGACTTGACCTTTGATATTTATTGAACTATTGAACACATGGTTCGATGATACATATTCGGCACAATTACTTCTTGTTGTCCTAGGATAAGCTGTTACGCGTGATTAAGCATTACTGCATTGGTTTTACATCGTACTTGTCATCTTACCATGTTTGTCGACTCGACTTTATGTAATATACAATTCCTCATGTTTACGTTGAGCCCTAGCATTAATAAGTAAAGCAATCGTGATATCTAGATGGTATAAGTTATGAGGAAAAGTGAGATTTATAATCTGAGAAGTAGTCAACATCTACAAGGGGTGAGGCATTACGAGTATGCAGTTTGCATAGCAAGTTCAATTAGGTATGTATGTAACTAATTGAGATGCACATACTAAAGTTAAGATTTTAAGTTGATCAACGCAAGTAGTTTTTCATAAGGAAAAATATCTTGAGACCTTCTTCCACGGAGCTGATACGAAATAGAAGGCAGGAAAATGCATGGAATTGTGTAATTAAAAGTTATTAATAAAACTATACTGAATTTATTCTGTCAACTTTAATATTACGTGTAGCAAATTAATCGACATACACATCTACTCAGTTCATCAGTCATACAAACAAGTACTTGATCTACTTGTTACATAGGTCGATATTCCAATACTTATGTATAATGAGAAATAATTACTATTTTCAACCAAACGACCACGAAATTACAAGTTTAAAACTAATGTACAATTATGATTACTTACTGACTATTTTTAATTAATGTAAGTTTATTACACAAAAAGAAGGAATTTCTCAGTTGCATAAGTGATCCCAGCTCAGCTTACCCATACACAGCATTTTATACAATATGGACTTGAATAGCTCACAACAACAAGATCACACGTCGTACTCGTAGCATTGCACTAAATAAATATTAAGAATTTTCAAAAGACTTGTGAATTAATTTTAGATTGGATGCGTGCAAATGGATGTAAAATGTGAAGTCATTGACGTTAACATGTAAGTACATACATACATATTTATACGAGGGCGATATTATCAACAAGTACCAATTTGACATTGTTAGTTTCATGGAGATGTTCAATGATGGAAGATATATAGCGTACGCTATCCTGATTAATAATTGGGATATTATATACTAACTATATATATATTTCTTTAACTTGCAATTGATACAAGTTATTGTTATTACATTATCACAAGGATACGGAAATTTTGTAAATCATAGGTTTAGAATTTGACAGTAAATGTATGTAAACAAAAATAAAACAATTTGCATATCATATAAACATGTAATTTGAAAATACAAATTCTGAACCACAGCCAATGTAAACACTGATTTTGTCTGATATAGTATAATTTTACTCTCTATCAAGGATCCCATAACGGAGTGAATGCCTTGTTTTGCATTTTGCATCGCAACCATATTTCCTACTTCAATTTCTTTTGCTTCAAAGCAGTGGCCGCTTGCTTTCTAGTATTTTGATCGACTTCAGGAAGGTCGGACAAATCCTTTGGCTTCTTAACTTTCTTTGGAGACTTTGGAGGTGCAACAACCACAGCAGAATGAGCTCTCAAGCGCTTTACATGGAAAATGCAAAATTGGAAAAGCATATACGATTGAATTCCACATATGAAAGCTAATCCAACGGTTCTGGAAAAGGAAAATTATTAGAAATTGTAGCTAATGATTAATACCAGTCAAGTAAGTAATATTCAATAACTAACCTCAAGACTTGAGATGCAAATGGTTCAAGACCAAACCAGAATGTAAGAACAGCAAAAATTACGGAGAGGAATCGGGCAACAATGAAAACGGAATTTCCAAGACGGAACAACCATACAGCTGAAAACCATCAAATCAGGGCAAATATTAGAAAATGTCAAATATTAGTAAAAACCTTAAATTACTAACGGAAAACCGTGTTTTAAATCTTGAAAACATATAATGGAAACTTAACTAAAACGCTATACATATTACATATGATATGGCATTCTTATGTAGATATTACTTCATTATTAAATCTATTATTTTACTTTAGTAGTCTCTATATTGCTTACATTATTATGTATTTATGCATTATGACAGTTGGCAATTAGATAAATAATCTTAGATATTACAGAATTTATAACTTACAAGTGTTGATTTTCTCCGCAAAGTGAAACAATCGAGCAAAGTTCAGCAAAATTTCAGGAATGAAGTGAAGAACCAACAACACAACAGATACGCGAGAAAGGCTGAAAAATTGTATAATCATTATTCGTAAGCGTCATTATCCATTAATTATGATTTATAAGTCTGTGTATACATACTTGGCCACATAGGCAACTGCTACAACTGAAGTATAAATGGAAGCCATGGTCAACTTTTGCATTATTTCTTCTTTCTTCATTCTATATAGAAATGAGAAAATATCTGTCATTTTGTGTCGAATATCAAAAATTTAAATTAACGAATTAAATGAACGAATTAAAAATACCTCAGGAAATATACTTCAGGGATCCAATGCAGCCAGTACGAAAGTTGAATGAGCATGAAAAATTTTAACACAAATGACATTTCCATGTGAGGAAAGCCATCCCATAGCAGGGAAATTTGGCTCAAATAATTTTCTCTGTAAAAACAATTACACCGAAATATTAAACACGTTATTATACAACAACCATCATTTTTATATGAAACCTTGTGGATATCTACCTCTGAACAATGTGGGTACCCCAAAGAGTGGTGATTAACGAGAATGCTAACAATTGTCCCGCATCATTGAACTTGGAATGCTTAATCTTACTCAAATGCAATTTTCTAGTGAATCGGTCCAACACATATTCTTGGACCAAGGCATGAATCACAACAGCGATCAGGGTATAGAAAAATACACCTATAAAAACGCAATACCATAATTAATTCAATTTTGATTACTTAATAATTTAAATAATGCAGAAATAGCAACGTACAACAAGAATCCTTCCATCCGACGGTGTACAACTGCTCATCAAAGTAGTATGGGGGCGGAGGGGGAGCAGTGGCATTCCTCGTCGTATTGTGCTGCACAGCAATGAAAATGGAAGCTATCGGGGCCGAAACTTGGAATATCAGGCCGATAACAAAGACCATTGCGATGCAAGCTATAAAAAATAACCATAGTCATGTATTTTTAAAAATTCAATAAAGACGCCATAAAGACGACGAGGTCATTTGTCCTTCTAACTCCTCAGGGTGAGGAGTAGAACACCACAATCATCATATTTATATACACATGCACGCACTTTTTCTTCAATGATATTTTCAACAATTGAAACGCTCGGATGTAAAACAGCCTTCGCGACAATTTAAAAAAAATTCAACCTAGTTACATTTAAATACCGTTTTGTAAAAATAATTACAAATAATTTAATTTCAATTTTAGCCCGAGTCAGGCTTATTTTGAAAAATCAGTATGAATCACTCTGGTTGCACTTTGCTCACTTTTAACTTCATATTCTTCTGAGAAGTTATTCTTCATATGAGAAGCCATTAAGTATCATTGTGCCGGATTTCATCTTTTTAAACAATTTCTAAAATTCGGGATGGGTCACCCCATCGGGTCACTCCAGATAAAAATTTTGACCCCCACTGGTCAACCACTTGACCGATTTCGCCCATATTCGAATTCGTTTCCTAACTTTGCCCATTATGCATATGGTAAAAATTTCAAGTCAATCGGTTCAGCCGTTTTGGCTCTATCGTGCCGGACAGACAGACAGACGGACGGACGGACGGACATGACGGTTCCATAAGCCTTGACTAGGGCTAAAAATTTTTCAAAAACGGTATTTAAATGTAACTAGGTTGAATTTTACAAAAAATTGTCGCGAAGGCTGTTTTACATCCGAGAGTTTCAATTTACGTTTGAAGAACTTTGGCATTACGTATCATTAGTCTTAATACAAATATACTCACCCACAATGTCCGCGTGGTTTTGGATAATAAATTCATGGCTGAGAATCGGAGGATTCTTGCTATTGGTACGTCTTCCCTTCACGGCCATCGTAGGTGGTCGGTCACAATCTGTAAGATAAAGTCAAACCAAAAAATATACATATCATAACCATTTGCGTAGAGAATGAATTGAAGTTCAAAGCCTTGAGCCCTAACTGTCATAGATTAAAACGAAACAAAAGACTGCTATATATTCTTGTACAACACCTTGTCGAAACCGTTTATGGTGATTAATCAATTACCTCGTCTATAGGAAGGAATAACCTTTATCTACCAGTCTAGAATTCTCCTTTAATAGAAACTTCTTCCGCACCCCACAACACCTGCAATCAATTACAATTAGTACTGATTATTGTGAAATTTAGGCCATGACACCGGACCATATGCACATTCACACTCAAGAGAGAAACGCCACTATGGCATTTAAGAGTTAACTTACTTTCACAAGCGATGATCTCCAACTGAAAACCACCGCTATGTACAAGAGGAAATAGCCAAAATAGCTAAACCGGACTGATATTAATACTGACGGATATTAATTTTGAATAATTTGGAGTCAGGTATGCAGTAGTCCGGCGAATCCGGTCCGGTGTTATTGACACTAGAGGAAGAAGAAGAAAAAGAAGAAGAGGTTTGACAGTCTGTCTTTCTGCTGCTGCTGATCTCCTACACGGTTGGGCTCGTTTTATGGGAAGGATTGGTGAGAACTTTGAGGAGCTATCACAAAAGGATAGCCAACGATGTAGGGGGATCCTCCACGCATGTACACGTGTACATGCCAACGATGCAGTCTCAAAATACACATCATGAACCTTTCATGATGAAAGCATAACAATAATGCTTCGATAAATATGTATATATATTTGCAAATAATTATTTATAAACTGCATAATAATGCACACAGGAGGATAGTCATATTAGATCATAGAATATAATACAATTCAAGGATTTTGGGTGTACTCTTAGCAACCAACTCTTTGTGTGAATGGAGAGTACGCGGGGTGAAGCAAATTTGCGGCACCATGTAGCATCCAGAATGGACATCAAAAAACCAAATTGAAACCTCGACATATTGTAGAAAATATTAATTAAAAAATATTTTCCTCTATAAAATTTTTCGAAATCTTTCGTTTCTGACCTTTTATTAAGGGGTCAAACCCCGTCCGTCCGCATTATGATTTCTTCAAAACGGATGCGAATTTTGACATTCAGTTTTCGCCAAAAGAGTTCAGAATTCGCCCGAACGTTGACGGTAAAAACCGCATGTCAAAATTCGCATCCGTTTTGAAGAAATCATAATGCGGACGGACGGGGTTTGACCCCTTAATAAAAGGTCAGAAACGAAAGATTTCGAAAAATTTTATAGAGGAAAATATTTTTTAATTAATATTTTCTACAATATGCCGAGGTTTCAATTTGGTTTTTTGATGTCCATTCTGGATGCTACATGGTGCCGCAAATTTGCTTCACCCCGCGTACTCTCCATTCACACAAAGAGTTGGTTGCTAAGAGTATGATAACTTTTTATGACCTGCTTATCAGTATTGAAGCACTTGGAAAAGCCAAGTTTTCAATTTTTAACTATTGGTAAATATTTATTTAATCTCTCTCAAAATAATGTTGGAACATTTTTTATGGTTATAATACTTTCGTCAAACTAGTACCATTCATCTTAAATTTATCGGCACGGTAAAGAAAACAAAAAATAAACTGTAATTAAAAGATTAAACAGGTTTTCCCTTGAAAGCTACCAAATTGTAAAACATTGATTACAGTAATTAATTATTATATCTTTCTACAATGGTTTGAAAATGTTGTCTTATTTTTACGGTTTTAGTATCAGTGAAAAATAGATTGTTATATACAAAAAACCCAGATATATCTATTGCAATTTTGAGCAATGTGTTTTGATAAAATACTGGTAGGGTAGAAGCTAAAACAAACACTAAGATTAATTATTACGTATTATGGTTGCTTTTCTGATAAGTAGAGCTATATTAACAAGAATAATATAAATGTCTGATACGAGTAGGATTAGTTCAGGTTCAATCTTAGGATTTCGTTATTAAGCGTCGTAATTTTCATGGCACACACTTGCGATGGAATGAAAGTCTTAATTGAGCAAAATTTGTGCAGTGTACATATAAGCGTATTGTTTTTGTGACTACATCTGTGCCAAGTTTCACAAAACTAATCAATCTTCTTGTCTTCTAATAAGGCATACTAATGATAATCTTCATATGGTATAGAGCTTAATAATACAATAATAATATGAAGGTTCCAAAATTCAGTCACTATGTGAGATAAATCTGTCGTCATTTCATTATTGAGTGAGTCAGAAGCAAAAGCGTAGATGAAAGTCGGCACTGTACTTAAAATTGCAGTATCAAATGGAATCAAGAAAGAAATATACGGAGCAGGTCAGTTTATGCTGATTTGCGGCCCGACTCAGTCAGACACAGCTTCAAATTCCTTTAATAAATTTCGAGACGGACTTCCGACTACAGTTCGGAGGTCATTGTCAGTTACAGCTCCAAGTTGATGGAGCCGACTATTACGTAATCGGATGCTGCAAATTTAAAAAAAACATCGATATTATATCATATCGATAAAAATGTCTATAAGCAGTTTACCCTCCGGATCGAGTCTTTGAATGAGAAATGGGGGTAGAAGCAAAGACAAGTGTAGGACTTTTCGGTCTTCGTTCTTCATCTGAAATGCAAAGTAAGTGCATGCAATTTAATTTACAACTGCATTCATCAACCAAATACATAACTCTAATGTAACAAACTAATGAAAATGATGAAAAAGTAAATTGTTTCATTACCATCAGAAAATGAACTATCATTTAGTAGCACGTTTGGAATGTCTCGATCTGCAGGAAAAGGCTCAGGAGTCCTCCGACCAACTTCAGACGCCGGAACATCTTTCCGTTCATTCCCTTGCCTCAAATATTTCGTAAAGAAGAACAAGGATGCCAAACACGACATAAAAGCAGCCCAGATACGACATACTAGTTTACACTTTTGTCCAACCCATGCCCTTCGGAACATCCAGTTTCGTTGGCGAATTCGACTTTGGACATCCGAGCGACATAGCAAGTCATTAATTGAAGGTCGCTCATTAATATCTGGAGTAAGCATTTCCTTAATGATTGGTTCCAACGTGGCAGGGACAACTGCGAAAAAATTAGCTCCACTAATCAATCATATTTTTATTAATGGTTATAATTAATTGGGACACCTTGATATATATATGTACAAACAATAGACTTACGATTGTTTGTGGGCTCTGGTAGCTGTCCATTCCTTAATTCATGCCACAATGATCCACTTTTAGGCAAGTCCACATGACAAGATATTTCCAAGATTGTTAAAGCCAGACTGAAAACGTCAGCTTTCGTTGTTATTGTCCCTTGCATTACCTCAGGAGCTAGATAACGCGAATCTCCTTCCGTAAACTCTGTCAAATCCCTCTAAAATAATATATTTTTATAGAACCACATAGTAATTAGAGTCCAGATACATATGTTTTTATCAATCCCTACTCATGTTGTGGCTCAACTCGCTCAACACGAGTAGGGATTGATAAAAACATTTGCTAATATGATAATAATGTATTGGGATTAAATAATGAACTATTAAGCTATTATTACATTCTCATTTAAGCACACAATGATTCCAAAATCTCCCAGTTTGTACTTGGTTGGAGTGTCGATTGTGAGAAAAATGTTTTCTGGTTTCACATCCATATGGACTAGAAGATTCTTATGCAAATGTTGCAAGGCATAAAGCATATCAACAAGAACATCCCATGCCTAAAATAAATACACATTACACTAAATAAATAGGATCATATTATTGCTCACTGGAGAAAAATCAATTTTAATCATCTGTATCGCGTATATTATATTATACTAAAATTGAGCAAGATATGTACTGTGCGGGTGGAGCCTAATAGTGAAAAACCGTAGGCCTCAGGACAAGAGAGTTGGTTGGAGAGAGGAGAAATCTATGGTTTTTCACTATTAGGCTCCACCCGCACAGTACATATCTTGCTCAATTTTAGTATAGTTCAGACCTCTTCTTCAGTTAAAAATCCTCCTTCTTCAATTTTTTGATTCAATGATTTTGAGCATAGTTCCAATTGAAAAAATAAATGACCATCTTCTTCCCACGCCGTTTCCAATTCTACGAGATGAGGGTTTGGTTCAATATCAGTCATTCTATTAACTTCTCGGAGCTGCCGAGCCCTGTATCAAAACGCATATTAATAATGAAACAACTGTAGCCACTCAAATTTAAAAATAAGTGAAGAGATAAATAAATATTCATATGACATGAAATTACAACGTGCCTATCAGCTTCACCAATGTACATTCGTCGAGACTTTTTGACAGCGTACTCTTTTTGATTCAATTTGCTTCTGACTCTAAACACGTCTCCAAAAGACCCAAATCCAAGTCGTTCTTGTATATCAAAAGTCGACCGGAATATGCTTGTCGTGGCGTTGTTCCCCCCAGACATTAAAAGTTGAAAGGAATTGTCCAAATCTTGAGAATCAACTCCAAAACGAGAATGAATTAATCTAGTCTGAGTCGGAGCTGATCGGACATAGTGCGGACGAGGGGCTGGCGGAACGTAGCGTAAATTTTGCTTTTCTCGATCCTGAAACAAATATTTATAAGTATTTAAGTGGTGTGTGGTGTATGGTTTGTTGGACACCTGAATGTGTGTAACTGTGTTTTTAAGTTACAAACAATTCAGAATTATAATGCTTGCAAACTATGAAGAATTGTGAATAGTGAATAGCATACTTTTTTAGACGACAAAGACCGTGGTTCCATCAAAAATCTTGGAAGATGGACTCCTGTCCTTGTTCGATAATGCGTGCTTTCGCCGGCGTCGTCCATTGCAGCCTTATATCCCAGAGGGTTTGTTGACTCCCAGTTTCCACTTACACTTGGAACTAGTCCTAAGTAATGACGGAAATTTGGACTGTACGCAATTGAGGTTATTATTTAATGTGTGATGAACAAATAAAATAGCTTTATAAACAAAAATGTACCAAACTATGAAATCCAAAGAGGCCGATAAGTTGACTCTCTGGCACACACGAGTGAATAACGAGTGGGAGTTGACAGTAAACAGTGGTTCGGAGTGGCCGCATTTCTCTCAGGGCAAGTTGAAACTTGTTCTTGTCTCCCCAGACAGGCAATCGACATGCAGTCTCATCTCACCTCCAGACTCTTTGTCTCCTCTTTATCTCATGTTGATAGCCTACTTACCGGCTTGTAAGTAGATAAATAATATGCAATAGTTATGCTTACCGTCAAAGTAATTAATGTCTCTTCCACCTCCTCAAAATGGGATGCACATAATTTATTGAATCGTTAATTTTTGTAAATACAAAGATATACTATACTAAGAATATGTCGGGTAGTAGCAACAAAAGAGAACATCTCAATGCGAATTTTTCATTATAAGTTGTACACAAAACTTAACTAGCATTAACATTAACTTATAAATCTGATAAAAATAAACCGAAATATTTGTAAATCACCTTGATTCAATCGACTCGTTGTAGGCTGCGACTAAGGCGATTGGATCAATTTAACTACCAACTAAAATTAAACTCTCGTAGGTGTTGATGCATATACATACTACAACATTTGTTAAAAGTTTCAATTATTATGGAATAATTTTATATCATTAATTTATCACACAATGGTTTTGAGTTATAAATACGGACGAAGAAGTGGTGCCATTATCAACCAAAGTTTCGAGTGATTCCAGGATTTTTGCGCGGATCCGGAGCATGAGGATGGTTTTCATTTCCGATTCCTATGGGAGAAATCATTTGAGGTTGTGGCTGAGTATTTGGGTAACGGAGGGTTCTCATCTTTTCCATTTCTCTCCAGAAACATATTAGGCGTTTTATAAGAGTTAAATCTTTTCCATCTCGTCGACCCATCATTGTCGCTCGTTGTATCCCAGTTTGGGTAATCCTTCGAAGTAGGAGGAGGTAAGCTCTGTCCAAGTGTATTTGAATGTTCATGTTCCCAAAGCCGGAAATGGGATATGGGTCAGAAACATAGCCCACCTGATACCAGCAATTACACTGTGCAATTGGGGTACAAGTTCCAGTTTTCTGGTTGAAATAAGAGTTTGTAGGACACAAAAAGACCTTCTTTATTACTCCTGTACACGAATAGTAGTAGCGTGGATCTCTGATGCCAAACTTTCCATCTTTATCACACTGAGGTATAATCCAAGGAAGTGCTGTTTCAGTCCATTCCATTCCTAGGCTATTTACGTGTAAATTCTGGTGAATTCGATGACCTCCCCAAAGATACCTTTCCTCATGACCAATCCCAATAAAATGATGGAGATAGGGCGCTACACAAAATCCATACTTTTCGCTGTAATATAAACTCTCTGGACATTGATATACGGTACGGGAATATTCATCCTCTTCGTTCTCGTCCGCTGGAGGAGCGTTCTTGTGAGAATCTTCTATCGAGTTTTCCTTAGAGTCGTCTCCTTTATCACGACCATAACGAGTTTTTCCAAAACATGTGTAATAATACCTGTAGTCTGGGAGTGAATGATACCCAGCAGACAAACATGGGGCGAGGTCAAATGCTAGAATATCTGGAGAAATAGGTGATCCAAATACGTCTTTAGGGTCGTTTACGATATTCGAATTTCCAACGCTTAGCTTTGCAAGTTTATGATTATGTATTCCAATTCCAGCGCCGCTGATAAAGCTTGCCCCACTTAGCTCTATATTCAATTGTAGACCAAGGTTGACGCCAAGTTTATAACTGGAACCGGCGATAACGTATTCGTGTAAAAAGCTTGGCAAGCAATGTCCACGCTTCGTGCTGAAAAAAAATCCAGAATGGCAGACGAACAATTTTGTTGAAAATCTTCCATTTGGGAGTCTCGACGTGGTGTAATAGTATTTGATATCCACCAATGGAAATTTGCCTTCTTTATTTGACACGGGAACATGGTATGGAACCGATGCCACAAGAACTGCTATTCCTGATTTCAAATCCATTTTTTGAGCAAGAGACCAGTGAGTAGTAACGCCGCCCCAGGAATATGCAGGCTGCAATTTCAAATGATGCATCATGTATATATACAAACATACTCATTGCCGATACATTTATAAAATGTATGCATATTGCATATTAGGTGAAGGCACGCATAGCAAATTTATGTGAATATGTATGTAGTTTATGTATTGTTACCTGATGACCAGCGAACGTGGATGCCTTTGCACATGTACGATACATTGAATTGTAGAAAAGACCATGAGGACATTGCCATAAATTTTGACTGAAATATAAACCAGAACCCTCCACGGATTTGCATGTGTAATAAAACCGGTAATCAGGATATGGAAAGGTTCCTGGAGCCGTGCATTCTGGTAGAATGAACATTGGCGAAGCTGAAGAAACTCGTGTTCCTTGTGTTGGTGGTAAAATTGTAGGAAGTGTTTTTCGAATTTCATGCCAAGACAGGCAATTCATTCGACTTGCACTAAAGAAATATCCATAAGGGCATCGTTGTAACTCGCCTATTTTAACAAAGAAAAATCGTTCGTATGTATTTTGTTTAATGCGCAGGTAAAACTAAATGAATTCACTAAACATTAACATATATGTACCTAGTACTCCAGCGTTTGGGCAACGAACAAAGAACCTGTCGTCCAATCCAAAAGAATTTATCCCTGCGACCGCACATTGGGTAGAAAATTCAGGGAACTGGGACAACTCTATAAAAGGTTGTTCTCCAGGTATTGTTAGGGGTTGGTTAGGTCCAGGACCAAGTCTGAAACCCAAATCTGACCGCAAAACATTCTTAGCGCCTGTGTGAATGCAAGCTCCAGCAGTAACTTCGAAAATATATCCTATCGGACAACTCCTATATATTGATCGAAATCCGCTGCCAGCCATCGGCACGCATTCTACATACATTCCCATGCTCAGCAATGGGTAACAACCCTCAGCCATGCATCCTTGAACTGGGAGAGTGGACAAGTCTGGCTTGACAATAATTCCCATCACAATAGTTTGACCTGGTGCAATCAAACTTCCAACTTCCATTTGCTCCAACGTTGTGTCCTCACTAAAATCAGACGATGTATATTCCGTTGTGGTAATGTCAAATGAAACAGTTTCCACGAATGTTTCAAAACTTGAAAAGGATGACGAGCTGGACACTTTAGTTTCGGACTCACTCATGCTACTAGATTCTTCAGATACTTCCGATTTGCTTGATGCATCAGAATGAGAACTTGACGTCATAGATGAGCTTGAACCAATGTTTTGACTAGACGATGAAGAAGCTGACAACACACACAAATTTAAACAACAGACTTGTAAAACGAAGTATTTATACACGTACAATTAGCCAAATAAATATTAACGTACTGGCATAATACTTATGCATAAGAATTAAGTATTGGAACAATGCAGCCAGGGCACAATGTATTATTACTCGGGAAGGTGTTGCAAAATTCCCAAGGGGTGTAACCACCTCAATATATACATATTTCGGTCCAGGGGAACAAAGTAAATGCATCTAAAACAATTTTACTGACCACACCCCCTGTGGGGAGAGTTACACCCCCAGGGGGTGTGGTTCAGAACTTTTCATATTTTCGGAATCAGAAACTCATGCTCACTCAAAATTCAAAGTTTTGATGATTTAAAAAATTTTCCGGTCGAGTTATACCCATTTACATGCTGCAAAACTGGTCGCAGGAAATAGTCAAGGGGAAGGGAGAGTAAATATCTTTAGAATTTGGAGCCAAGTAATACCAAGAATTTATGCTAGTTAATGAAGAATTAAATTAGTGCAGAATACTAATTTTTAGTGGTAGCACACAATAATTTTATAGAAACTAGAGATACATGGGTTTACGATCATTCCTGGTTCGGGCTACGCTAAGCTGTACGAATAGGTTTTTCGTTCATTACGTGCTACCTGCTAGACCCCCCCCCATATATGACACAAGCCGGATTACGGCGGACGGAAACTTGACTCAGAACTTATCATTTCTCGAGAGGGCACGCACTTGAAAAACTAAATGTTCGCCTTTTCTGGTAAACATTCATCAGATGTCCTTACCCGCCACATGTTAAGGAAAAGAGTACGCTTTTAGTAGTATCTGTCAAACTTTATAAGCAAACCTTGTAAAGCCGATGAAGCACTGCTAGCAATAGAAGATTGTTGAGACATTGCGCTCTGCTGAGCTGTAAATATCAATAACCCCATAAACACAATAATCTCTCAAAATCTAAACCTTGAAGACCATTCTATATACCTGACCCCATCGATCGCCCACTCATAGCAGCAAATCCTTGACTGTGACCACTCATCGAGCTAGCTCCAGAAGCTTGCCCAAATGCTGCTTGGCTACCCATCATTGCACCTTGCTGAGATACAGCACCTGATTGCACTGTTACAAACACATACGTAAATGCACAAAGTTACAACTCTAATTTGATACACAAATGTCACCACTTAATATAATCAATGATGCCTGACCTGCCATTTCTCCATGTTGAGACATTGCGCCTTGTTGAGCTGTGCATAAATATCGGCAGTGAAAATAAATATTCATATAGTATCTGCATACATATTTTACTAGAACGTGAGGCTTACCGTGTCCCATTGTAGCCCCGCCCGCATTAGCAAATCCAGAAGCCTGCCCCGCCATTGAAGAAGATCCGGCCTGGTTTCCAAATGCTTGACTCTGTCCCGCCACATGACCGCCAGCCACCATTGCTCCATGCTGAGCGTTCCCTCCTGCGTTTGCTAAAAATGTATTTTTCAAGTATGTGAGACGAGTTGATTCAGCAATTTATTACAATCCAGACGAGAAAATTGGGCGAACTTGTATACCTGCTCCCATAGATCGCCCACCCATAGCCGCAAATCCTTGACTGTGACCACTCATCGAGCTAGCTCCAGAAGCTTGCCCAAATGCTGCTTGGCTACCCATCATTGCACCTTGCTGAGATACAGCACCTGATTGAACTATTAAATACAAATAAGTACATGCACAAAAGTTCCGACGCTACTTTGAGACAAGGGTGTCATCATTTATTAATTCACCTTGTCCCATTGAAGAACCGCCGGCATTGCTGAAACCGGATGATTGGCCACTGACGGATGACGAACCAGATTTACTTCCGAATGACTGAGATTGGCCTGCCGTATGGCCTTGGGCGTTCATTATTCCATGAGTAGCCTGACCACCGGAATGCACTGTAAAACCGTAATATTTTTAATTTTCAAGTTTGTTGTGCATAATGCCGACAATGTTTGAATATTTCAGAATTACCGCCACCCATGGAGCGTCCTCCCATTCCTTGGAATCCACTGTGCTGACCTGCAGCCATTGAGGCCCCAGAGTTTTGACCATGCATAGATGACTGACCTGCCATTGCTCCATGTTGAGACATTGCGCCTTGTTGAGCTGTGCATAAATATCGGCAGTGAAAATAAATATTCATATGGTATCTGCATACATATTTTACTAGAACGTGAGGCTTACCGTGTCCCATTGTAGCCCCGCCCGCATTAGCAAATCCAGAAGCCTGCCCCGCCATTGAAGAAGATCCGGCCTGGTTTCCAAATGCTTGACTCTGTCCCGCCACATGACCGCCAGCCACCATTGCTCCATGCTGAGCGTTCCCTCCTGCGTTTGCTAAAAATGTATTTTTCAAGTATGTGAGACGAGTTGATTCAGCAATTTATTACAATCCAGACGAGAAAATTGGGCGAACTTGTATACCTGCTCCCATAGATCGCCCACCCATAGCCGCAAATCCTTGACTGTGACCACTCATCGAGCTAGCTCCAGAAGCTTGCCCAAATGCTGCTTGGCTACCCATCATTGCACCTTGCTGAGATACAGCACCTGATTGAACTATTAAATACAAATAAGTACATGCACAAAAGTTCCGACGCTACTTTGAGACAAGGGTGTCATCATTTATTAATTCACCTTGTCCCATTGAAGAACCGCCGGCATTGCTGAAACCGGATGATTGGCCACTGACGGATGACGAACCAGATTTACTTCCGAATGACTGAGATTGGCCTGCCGTATGGCCTTGGGCGTTCATTATTCCATGAGTAGCCTGACCACCGGAATGCACTGTAAAACCGTAATATTTTTAATTTTCAAGTTTGTTGTGCATAATGCCGACAATGTTTGAATATTTCAGAATTACCGCCACCCATGGAGCGTCCTCCCATTCCTTGGAATCCACTGTGCTGACCTGCAGCCATTGAGGCCCCAGAGTTTTGACCATGCATAGATGACTGACCTGCCATTGCTCCATGTTGAGACATTGCGCCTTGTTGAGCTGTGCATAAATATCGGCAGTGAAAATAAATATTCATATAGTATCTGCATACATATTTTACTAGAACGTGAGGCTTACCGTGTCCCATTGTAGCCCCGCCCGCATTAGCAAATCCAGAAGCCTGCCCCGCCATTGAAGAAGATCCGGCCTGGTTTCCAAATGCTTGACTCTGTCCCGCCACATGACCGCCAGCCACCATTGCTCCATGCTGAGCGTTCCCTCCTGCGTTTGCTAAAAATGTATTTTTCAAGTATGTGAGACGAGTTGATTCAGCAATTTATTACAATCCAGACGAGAAAATTGGGCGAACTTGTATACCTGCTCCCATAGATCGCCCACCCATAGCCGCAAATCCTTGACTGTGACCACTCATCGAGCTAGCTCCAGAAGCTTGCCCAAATGCTGCTTGGCTACCCATCATTGCACCTTGCTGAGATACAGCACCTGATTGAACTATTAAATACAAATAAGTACATGCACAAAAGTTCCGACGCTACTTTGAGACAAGGGTGTCATCATTTATTAATTCACCTTGTCCCATTGAAGAACCGCCGGCATTGCTGAAACCGGATGATTGGCCACTGACGGATGACGAACCAGATTTACTTCCGAATGACTGAGATTGGCCTGCCGTATGGCCTTGGGCGTTCATTATTCCATGAGTAGCCTGACCACCGGAATGCACTGTAAAACCGTAATATTTTTAATTTTCAAGTTTGTTGTGCATAATGCCGACAATGTTTGAATATTTCAGAATTACCGCCACCCATGGAGCGTCCTCCCATTCCTTGGAATCCACTGTGCTGACCTGCAGCCATTGAGGCCCCAGAGTTTTGACCATGCATAGATGACTGACCTGCCATTGCTCCATGTTGAGACATTGCGCCTTGTTGAGCTGTGCATAAATATCGGCAGTGAAAATAAATATTCATATGGTATCTGCATACATATTTTACTAGAACGTGAGGCTTACCGTGTCCCATTGTAGCCCCGCCCGCATTAGCAAATCCAGAAGCCTGCCCCGCCATTGAAGAAGATCCGGCCTGGTTTCCAAATGCTTGACTCTGTCCCGCCACATGACCGCCAGCCACCATTGCTCCATGCTGAGCGTTCCCTCCTGCGTTTGCTAAAAATGTATTTTTCAAGTATGTGAGACGAGTTGATTCAGCAATTTATTACAATCCAGACGAGAAAATTGGGCGAACTTGTATACCTGCTCCCATAGATCGCCCACCCATAGCCGCAAATCCTTGACTGTGACCACTCATCGAGCTAGCTCCAGAAGCTTGCCCAAATGCTGCTTGGCTACCCATCATTGCACCTTGCTGAGATACAGCACCTGATTGAACTATTAAATACAAATAAGTACATGCACAAAAGTTCCGACGCTACTTTGAGACAAGGGTGTCATCATTTATTAATTCACCTTGTCCCATTGAAGAACCGCCGGCATTGCTGAAACCGGATGATTGGCCACTGACGGATGACGAACCAGATTTACTTCCGAATGACTGAGATTGGCCTGCCGTATGGCCTTGGGCGTTCATTATTCCATGAGTAGCCTGACCACCGGAATGCACTGTAAAACCGTAATATTTTTAATTTTCAAGTTTGTTGTGCATAATGCCGACAATGTTTGAATATTTCAGAATTACCGCCACCCATGGAGCGTCCTCCCATTCCTTGGAATCCACTGTGCTGACCTGCAGCCATTGAGGCCCCAGAGTTTTGACCATGCATAGATGACTGACCTGCCATTGCTCCATGTTGAGACATTGCGCCTTGTTGAGCTGTGCATAAATATCGGCAGTGAAAATAAATATTCATATGGTATCTGCATACATATTTTACTAGAACGTGAGGCTTACCGTGTCCCATTGTAGCCCCGCCCGCATTAGCAAATCCAGAAGCCTGCCCCGCCATTGAAGAAGATCCGGCCTGGTTTCCAAATGCTTGACTCTGTCCCGCCACATGACCGCCAGCCACCATTGCTCCATGCTGAGCGTTCCCTCCTGCGTTTGCTAAAAATGTATTTTTCAAGTATGTGAGACGAGTTGATTCAGCAATTTATTACAATCCAGACGAGAAAATTGGGCGAACTTGTATACCTGCTCCCATAGATCGCCCACCCATAGCCGCAAATCCTTGACTGTGACCACTCATCGAGCTAGCTCCAGAAGCTTGCCCAAATGCTGCTTGGCTACCCATCATTGCACCTTGCTGAGATACAGCACCTGATTGAACTATTAAATACAAATAAGTACATGCACAAAAGTTCCGACGCTACTTTGAGACAAGGGTGTCATCATTTATTAATTCACCTTGTCCCATTGAAGAACCGCCGGCATTGCTGAAACCGGATGATTGGCCACTGACGGATGACGAACCAGATTTACTTCCGAATGACTGAGATTGGCCTGCCGTATGGCCTTGGGCGTTCATTATTCCATGAGTAGCCTGACCACCGGAATGCACTGTAAAACCGTAATATTTTTAATTTTCAAGTTTGTTGTGCATAATGCCGACAATGTTTGAATATTTCAGAATTACCGCCACCCATGGAGCGTCCTCCCATTCCTTGGAATCCACTGTGCTGACCTGCAGCCATTGAGGCCCCAGAGTTTTGACCATGCATAGATGACTGACCTGCCATTGCTCCATGTTGAGACATTGCGCCTTGTTGAGCTGTGCATAAATATCGGCAGTGAAAATAAATATTCATATAGTATCTGCATACATATTTTACTAGAACGTGAGGCTTACCGTGTCCCATTGTAGCCCCGCCCGCATTAGCAAATCCAGAAGCCTGCCCCGCCATTGAAGAAGATCCGGCCTGGTTTCCAAATGCTTGACTCTGTCCCGCCACATGACCGCCAGCCACCATTGCTCCATGCTGAGCGTTCCCTCCTGCGTTTGCTAAAAATGTATTTTTCAAGTATGTGAGACGAGTTGATTCAGCAATTTATTACAATCCAGACGAGAAAATTGGGCGAACTTGTATACCTGCTCCCATAGATCGCCCACCCATAGCCGCAAATCCTTGACTGTGACCACTCATCGAGCTAGCTCCAGAAGCTTGCCCAAATGCTGCTTGGCTACCCATCATTGCACCTTGCTGAGATACAGCACCTGATTGAACTATTAAATACAAATAAGTACATGCACAAAAGTTCCGACGCTACTTTGAGACAAGGGTGTCATCATTTATTAATTCACCTTGTCCCATTGAAGAACCGCCGGCATTGCTGAAACCGGATGATTGGCCACTGACGGATGACGAACCAGATTTACTTCCGAATGACTGAGATTGGCCTGCCGTATGGCCTTGGGCGTTCATTATTCCATGAGTAGCCTGACCACCGGAATGCACTGTAAAACCGTAATATTTTTAATTTTCAAGTTTGTTGTGCATAATGCCGACAATGTTTGAATATTTCAGAATTACCGCCACCCATGGAGCGTCCTCCCATTCCTTGGAATCCACTGTGCTGACCTGCAGCCATTGAGGCCCCAGAGTTTTGACCATGCATAGATGACTGACCTGCCATTGCTCCATGTTGAGACATTGCGCCTTGTTGAGCTGTGCATAAATATCGGCAGTGAAAATAAATATTCATATGGTATCTGCATACATATTTTACTAGAACGTGAGGCTTACCGTGTCCCATTGTAGCCCCGCCCGCATTAGCAAATCCAGAAGCCTGCCCCGCCATTGAAGAAGATCCGGCCTGGTTTCCAAATGCTTGACTCTGTCCCGCCACATGACCGCCAGCCACCATTGCTCCATGCTGAGCGTTCCCTCCTGCGTTTGCTAAAAATGTATTTTTCAAGTATGTGAGACGAGTTGATTCAGCAATTTATTACAATCCAGACGAGAAAATTGGGCGAACTTGTATACCTGCTCCCATAGATCGCCCACCCATAGCCGCAAATCCTTGACTGTGACCACTCATCGAGCTAGCTCCAGAAGCTTGCCCAAATGCTGCTTGGCTACCCATCATTGCACCTTGCTGAGATACAGCACCTGATTGAACTATTAAATACAAATAAGTACATGCACAAAAGTTCCGACGCTACTTTGAGACAAGGGTGTCATCATTTATTAATTCACCTTGTCCCATTGAAGAACCGCCGGCATTGCTGAAACCGGATGATTGGCCACTGACGGATGACGAACCAGATTTACTTCCGAATGACTGAGATTGGCCTGCCGTATGGCCTTGGGCGTTCATTATTCCATGAGTAGCCTGACCACCGGAATGCACTGTAAAACCGTAATATTTTTAATTTTCAAGTTTGTTGTGCATAATGCCGACAATGTTTGAATATTTCAGAATTACCGCCACCCATGGAGCGTCCTCCCATTCCTTGGAATCCACTGTGCTGACCTGCAGCCATTGAGGCCCCAGAGTTTTGACCATGCATAGATGACTGACCTGCCATTGCTCCATGTTGAGACATTGCGCCTTGTTGAGCTGTGCATAAATATCGGCAGTGAAAATAAATATTCATATGGTATCTGCATACATATTTTACTAGAACGTGAGGCTTACCGTGTCCCATTGTAGCCCCGCCCGCATTAGCAAATCCAGAAGCCTGCCCCGCCATTGAAGAAGATCCGGCCTGGTTTCCAAATGCTTGACTCTGTCCCGCCACATGACCGCCAGCCACCATTGCTCCATGCTGAGCGTTCCCTCCTGCGTTTGCTAAAAATGTATTTTTCAAGTATGTGAGACGAGTTGATTCAGCAATTTATTACAATCCAGACGAGAAAATTGGGCGAACTTGTATACCTGCTCCCATAGATCGCCCACCCATAGCCGCAAATCCTTGACTGTGACCACTCATCGAGCTAGCTCCAGAAGCTTGCCCAAATGCTGCTTGGCTACCCATCATTGCACCTTGCTGAGATACAGCACCTGATTGAACTATTAAATACAAATAAGTACATGCACAAAAGTTCCGACGCTACTTTGAGACAAGGGTGTCATCATTTATTAATTCACCTTGTCCCATTGAAGAACCGCCGGCATTGCTGAAACCGGATGATTGGCCACTGACGGATGACGAACCAGATTTACTTCCGAATGACTGAGATTGGCCTGCCGTATGGCCTTGGGCGTTCATTATTCCATGAGTAGCCTGACCACCGGAATGCACTGTAAAACCGTAATATTTTTAATTTTCAAGTTTGTTGTGCATAATGCCGACAATGTTTGAATATTTCAGAATTACCGCCACCCATGGAGCGTCCTCCCATTCCTTGGAATCCACTGTGCTGACCTGCAGCCATTGAGGCCCCAGAGTTTTGACCATGCATAGATGACTGACCTGCCATTGCTCCATGTTGAGACATTGCGCCTTGTTGAGCTGTGCATAAATATCGGCAGTGAAAATAAATATTCATATGGTATCTGCATACATATTTTACTAGAACGTGAGGCTTACCGTGTCCCATTGTAGCCCCGCCCGCATTAGCAAATCCAGAAGCCTGCCCCGCCATTGAAGAAGATCCGGCCTGGTTTCCAAATGCTTGACTCTGTCCCGCCACATGACCGCCAGCCACCATTGCTCCATGCTGAGCGTTCCCTCCTGCGTTTGCTAAAAATGTATTTTTCAAGTATGTGAGACGAGTTGATTCAGCAATTTATTACAATCCAGACGAGAAAATTGGGCGAACTTGTATACCTGCTCCCATAGATCGCCCACCCATAGCCGCAAATCCTTGACTGTGACCACTCATCGAGCTAGCTCCAGAAGCTTGCCCAAATGCTGCTTGGCTACCCATCATTGCACCTTGCTGAGATACAGCACCTGATTGAACTATTAAATACAAATAAGTACATGCACAAAAGTTCCGACGCTACTTTGAGACAAGGGTGTCATCATTTATTAATTCACCTTGTCCCATTGAAGAACCGCCGGCATTGCTGAAACCGGATGATTGGCCACTGACGGATGACGAACCAGATTTACTTCCGAATGACTGAGATTGGCCTGCCGTATGGCCTTGGGCGTTCATTATTCCATGAGTAGCCTGACCACCGGAATGCACTGTAAAACCGTAATATTTTTAATTTTCAAGTTTGTTGTGCATAATGCCGACAATGTTTGAATATTTCAGAATTACCGCCACCCATGGAGCGTCCTCCCATTCCTTGGAATCCACTGTGCTGACCTGCAGCCATTGAGGCCCCAGAGTTTTGACCATGCATAGATGACTGACCTGCCATTGCTCCATGTTGAGACATTGCGCCTTGTTGAGCTGTGCATAAATATCGGCAGTGAAAATAAATATTCATATGGTATCTGCATACATATTTTACTAGAACGTGAGGCTTACCGTGTCCCATTGTAGCCCCGCCCGCATTAGCAAATCCAGAAGCCTGCCCCGCCATTGAAGAAGATCCGGCCTGGTTTCCAAATGCTTGACTCTGTCCCGCCACATGACCGCCAGCCACCATTGCTCCATGCTGAGCGTTCCCTCCTGCGTTTGCTAAAAATGTATTTTTCAAGTATGTGAGACGAGTTGATTCAGCAATTTATTACAATCCAGACGAGAAAATTGGGCGAACTTGTATACCTGCTCCCATAGATCGCCCACCCATAGCCGCAAATCCTTGACTGTGACCACTCATCGAGCTAGCTCCAGAAGCTTGCCCAAATGCTGCTTGGCTACCCATCATTGCACCTTGCTGAGATACAGCACCTGATTGAACTATTAAATACAAATAAGTACATGCACAAAAGTTCCGACGCTACTTTGAGACAAGGGTGTCATCATTTATTAATTCACCTTGTCCCATTGAAGAACCGCCGGCATTGCTGAAACCGGATGATTGGCCACTGACGGATGACGAACCAGATTTACTTCCGAATGACTGAGATTGGCCTGCCGTATGGCCTTGGGCGTTCATTATTCCATGAGTAGCCTGACCACCGGAATGCACTGTAAAACCGTAATATTTTTAATTTTCAAGTTTGTTGTGCATAATGCCGACAATGTTTGAATATTTCAGAATTACCGCCACCCATGGAGCGTCCTCCCATTCCTTGGAATCCACTGTGCTGACCTGCAGCCATTGAGGCCCCAGAGTTTTGACCATGCATAGATGACTGACCTGCCATTGCTCCATGTTGAGACATTGCGCCTTGTTGAGCTGTGCATAAATATCGGCAGTGTAAATAAATATTCATATGGTATCTGCATACATATTTTACTAGAACGTGAGGCTTACCGTGTCCCATTGTAGCCCCGCCCGCATTTGCAAATCCAGAAGCCTGTCCCGCCATTGAAGAAGATCCGGCCTGGTTTCCAAATGCTTGACTCTGTCCCGCCACATGACCACCAGCCACCATTGCTCCATGCTGAGCGTGCCCTCCTGCGTGCGCTAAAAAATGTATTTTTCAAGTATGTCAGATGAACTGATTCAGCAATTCATTACAATCTAGACGAAAAAATTGGGCGAACTTATATACCTGCTCCCATAGATCGCCCACCCATAGCCGCAAATCCTTGAGTTTGACCACTCATGGAACTAGCTCCAGAAGCTTGCCCAAATGCTGCTTGGCTACCCGTCATTGCACCTTGCTGAGATACAGCACCTGATTGAACTATTAAATACAAATAAGTACATGCGCAAAAGTTCCTACGCAGCATTGAGACAAGGAAGTCATCATTCATTCACCTTGAACCATTGATGAACCAGCGACATTGCTGAAACCGGATGATTGACCACTGATGGAACTAGCTCCTGAACTTTGGGCGGATTGGAAGTTTTGAGCTGATGCCAGTTGATTTGATTGCTGGGACGCTGATTCGGCTTTTGCTTTAAAATGTATTTAAAATTGAATATAATTGTTTTTGCTGGCACATTGATTGAAATATACTTTACTGGAAAAATTCGTTTGGCTTTATGATCATCATGTGGTAGGTTACGTATGGCTGGTCCTGTTTTCATAGATCAGTCTAGCTTTGCTTGCAACGCCATGGTGTATAAGTTTAGTAATTTGGCACTTAAGGAGTGCGTTAATTACAATTATACATAAAATGAGTTAGTTAGGTACTGTGCGGGTAGAGCTGAAAGTTTAAGTTCGGGTACACTCTGTGCATCCTAGTGAGCGAGTTGACTTTTTCTCCTCGCCACTTAGCAGTAATGTAAATGATTTTTGTCACTAAAATTTCTAATTTGCAGCTAATACAAAATGGATTGATTTCGTTTTGGTGGCAATAAATTCCTAAGTTTGTGATTTACAATTGCCATGTTGCATAAATTCCATAATAAATCTCAGAGAAAAGTATTGGACTGAAACATGATATGAGTCCATGTTTCAGTTCAATACTTTTCTCTGAGATTTATTATGGAATTTATGCAACATGGCAATTGTAAATCACAAACTTGGGAATTTATTGCCACCAAAACGAAATCAATCCATTTTGTATTAGCTGCAAATTAGAAGTTTTAGTCGAAATTTTTCTCCTTTTCTGGTTCGCGATGCCCCGTTCTCAGTGTGGGAACGGTCACTCTCAAAACCCAAAGCAACTTTTTACATGCAACTGCCTGCATTGTTTACATGAAAATCAGCTGCTCTCTTCGCCCCGCCCCCCCCCCTCATTAAAAAAGTCTCTCAGCACACAAGGCACACAGCGAAATAATCCAAAAATTTCGGAAATAATTCCAGGAGCACATTTTTAAAGAAATTTTCGCATATTTCGAGCTCTTAGGGGCCAAGGCCAAACCCATAAAAAAATTGAAGAGCCACGCCCACTTTGGGTGTGGTTTTTTCCTAGCAGGGTTAGAGGCAAATGTCATATCTAAAATTGTAGCTCATTCGATTATGCATCTCCAGTAAAAATTTCATCGAAATCCGTTCAGAAATAAAAAAGATATTCAATGGCGAAGCTCGCCGACAGTCAAAAGACGACGACTTTAGGGGCGTGGTTCTCCGAAAGGGGCGAGTACCATACTCTGAAAATCATTGTAAATTGTGGTCCCCAACGTTATCAACGTATTCCAAGAAAAACGGAGAACTGGAATCTGCCCCTTTCAAAGTTATAGTCCCGGGAACATTGGGAACATTCATGGCGAAATTGTCCAAAAATGGTGAAATTTGACATGACGTATCGCAGTAAAAATCGATATCTAGCTTCAGCGAGGTCTAAAAAGTGGGTCGCAGGTGAAATTGGCCCATGTCGTAAGGGAACCATGTCGACATGGAGCTAGAGAGCTGAAATTTAACACTAATACTCCCCTCCCCTCCAAAATACATATGCAAACACTTTTGATCATGTCGACACGCTATGTCGATAGATATCGACCTTTAAATGCGCGTGTCGACCACGGGGTGTCGACATGATCAAAAGTGTTTGCATATGTATTTTGGAGGGGAGGGGAGTATTAGTGTTAAATTTCAGCTCTCTAGCTCCATGTCGACATGGTTCCCTTACGACATAGGCCAATTTCACCTGCGACCCACTTTTTAGACCTCGCTGAAGCTAGATATCGATTTTTACTGCGATACGTCATGTCAAATTTCACCATTTTTGGACAATTTCGCCATGAATGTTCCCAATGTTCCCGGGACTATAACTTTGAAAGGGGCAGATTCCAGTTCTCCGTTTTTCTTGGAATACGTTGATAACGTTGGGGACCACAATTTACAATGATTTTCAGAGTATGGTACTCGCCCCTTTCGGAGAACCACGCCCCTAAAGTCGTCGTCTTTTGACTGTCGGCGAGCTTCGCCATTGAATATCTTTTTTATTTCTGAACGGATTTCGATGAAATTTTTACTGGAGATGCATAATCGAATGAGCTACAATTTTAGATATGACATTTGCCTCTAACCCTGCTAGGAAAAAACCACACCCAAAGTGGGCGTGGCTCTTCAATTTTTTTATGGGTTTGGCCTTGGCCCCCAAGAGCTCGAAATATGCGAAAATTTCTTTAAAAATGTGCTCCTGGAATTATTTCCGAAATTTTTGGATTATTTCGCTGTGTGCAAGGAGACGCAACCGTCGTCTCTGTCTTTTAGTTATGAGACTTTTTCAACGTATATGCACTCTTAAACCTTCGGCCTCCTGAAGTATCTTGCGCTGAGACTAGGGTTTCTCGTGATTTTAGCTCCATCCGCACAGCGCATAACTATAAATCACGTCAACTTGACGTCGTCAAGTATAGTAATTTACTATCCACGCTTGGGTAACTGTAATTCCCGCATTGGTTTGGCACTACACAACCGAAAAAAGCTGAAATGATTGATGCTACGCATTTTAGAGATTTATAGGGATTCTGTATTTGTCAATACAGTTGATTCGCACTGGGCTGGTTGTCAAAAAATTTGGCCTAGCAAAAATTAGTGTGTTTATCGGAGTAATGAAATTGTTTAAATTATAGATACATACTTAGAACTACGAATCTTGTAAGGCTGTAATGCACCTTCAGGTCTAACAGTGTTACTTGTATAACCCGTATTTGTTCCCTATTTGTAGAATATACCAAATATATTATAATATAACCGATCTTATCCTTGGTTTCGTAATTTTGAGCATCATATGCAAAATACTGTGGTGTTAAATGGATTTCGATTGAATATGTTAAGCATTAGGTGCTCTGACAATGAGTGGTATACCGGTTTGTGCCTACATACTTACTTAGGGGAGCGGGGTCTAGAAAATCGCGATTTTTGGGTTACGTAATTTATGGACGGCCTTATGTACCTCACATTTTGTTAATTGTGACTATATTAGGTTAGTAAAGGTAGGTAGAAGGAATTTACCTGAAAGTGACATATCGCTCATACTATGCTTCATTTGGGTTTCTTGGTTTGTATGCATGTTAAAATTTGACACTTTTGCTTCATTTTTGCTTTCAGAATGAGCATTTGTTACTTTTTGATGATGTTCATTTGACTTGTGGACTGTTTTTTTATATTCAGTATTTTGGGCACTTGAAGTATGTGTTTTATGAACTGTTTTCATATTTTGATGTGTAGTTTTTGTTAACATTTGCTGCTCCTTCCGAAGATGATTCGACTTGGACAAAGCTGATCCCGTGTTACTCTCATCGTAAAGATTTGTTCCAGATGTATCTTGCGCCATATTAACTGGGGACCCCGTATCACTTCCATAACTATAAGTTATGCATAAGCAAAACGTATAAGCTCATAATCATTTTTAACAAAAGTCAGTCAGGACTGTGCAATAAACATGTGATCGATTTGAGGGGGGTAGGGTCAAGGCATCCTATCCTTCCTATTTTAGCTATAACATGAGGCCTATTGGTCGCACCAGAGTCAAAATTCTCCAAAAATCGATCATATGCTTTATGTACAGCTACATATTTACAAAAATGTGCCATAATTTGTAAGATAGAAATCCTAACCCATATTCCCCTCCGCCATTGTTGGAACCCCCGCATTCTTGACAGTCAAGTGGAGGGATGCATTTCGAAGTGTCGTCAACAGAGTGCATTTCTGATGGGCAAACATAAATTATATGAAAGAACCCACCGGTGTTGGGATTTCTTTGGCATTTCATAAAATAGTTGTTGTCCCCCTGGGTGAGCACTACTCCTTCTTCTTGACAGATGGGGGCAGATATTTCGAGCATGTCTGGTGATGGTTGCACATGACCTATTGGGTGCCCTTTGCCATGATTATTCTTCTTTGCCGCACGCCGTTTGCGTATTTTCCTACACAATTTGGTTGAAAATTCAAGTCGAATTCTTAATTAAACTACGATATTATAATATAATAGGCGTACTCCTCCAAGCTGATTTGTTCTGTGCTCCGTTTTGCTCTGGAATTTTCCGAAATATACTCTTCAGGTCCGTGGGCATACAAGTTCTGGAAATAAGTTAATGTTATTTAATATAAATTATATTGCATGAAAGCCTTCTCCACGCGGTCACAGTTTAGGATAGTATCTACTAAATACTTTAAATACTCTCGGTAGAGATACTGTAAGTCTAATCCTAAGTACTTTTTATTAATACTTATGTACAATAAAATTTTCACTTACACACGCAAGAGTTGCGACAAGAATGGCGACCACAAACGGATAAAATCTCCAACTCATATTGCAACAATTCCGTACAAGGGCCCGTGTAACCCCTCCGGTAAGATGAAAATGTCTACCTCAACGCGACACAAATTGCTAAGAATGAACTGTGCAATTTATCAGCCTACATTTGTGCATGGAAAAAATCGGATCATTGTTATCGGAACATAAATTTCCGTCAATGCATACTGCGTGGATGTGACCTTGTTGAACAATGGATGATATGGATTTTGAGACTTTATTGCTAAGTTTACTGATTTTAATACTCGGTCGTTATATTTAGTTACGTATAGGTTTATGAGGACACTTTCTACTTATAATTTCATACAATGCATACCGATAGATCAACTTCCTTCAAATGGGTTTATTATGTTACAATTTTAAATAATATGTGATACTGTAAGTATAAAAGATGCCGTCATTGCCGTCTACTGCAAATGAAATCGTTACTTTCAGTATTTCATATATCTGGTTTCAAATGACAAAAATAGACAAAGTGCATTTGTATCAAAATATGTTTTGTACTTTAAAAAAACACAATATATTTACAATACTTGCATTCAAAGTCTGGAATGCGCACTAGATCAAAAAAATTCTGTATATATTAGTAACGCGATGTTACTTTTAAATTGGCATAAATATGATATTGGTTACAGGTGTAACCGGTGTCGAAAGAATGTTCATTTGTGTAGTTTATTTTATTCTTATCTTTGATAATTTTTATTTTTCATAACTCCAGGGGGAGTTCATAATTCTAAGCATTTTTCTGCTGGAACAATTTATTTTCATGTCCGTTGCAATGAGACGACGGGTGCATGGGGACACGAGGGGTTAAATAAATTTCATTAAAGACATTGGACAACGGATCGCTGCCGTGACTGGAGAACGATTGTTAACAAGTAAAGATACAGTAATTGGACAAGACCAAGGTTGCTTGACACTTTATCATAATACAAATAAATGTAATACTAACGTTGTCAAGCAACCTTGGGACAAGACTTATCAAATTCACGGTTGCTTGACAATAAGTATCTTAGCACTGTAATACGGTTGCGACAAATGGAGCATTTCGAAAAAAAAATCATTTTTGAAATCGTTGGTACCTTTGCGATCAAGGCTGTATGGCCCGCTTCTCGTCCATTGCATTATGACTCATCACTACCCGAGCAGCACCATAAATTCATGGTAAGTATCGGACAATTTTTGCTCAAAAAATTTTAAAACGCAAAAATTGATGTTTTTCGTTACCGTAATATATATCTAGATATATTACATACTGGGTTTCCGTTCGAATCGCTATAATTTTGGTTTTAAATATTTCCTGAAAAATTTAATTAACTAAAATTTAATTTCGAACGGGAATCCAATAGGCTTTATGATGTAATATGTCTAGGTATATATTATGGTAGGAAAAAACATCAAATTTTGCGTTTTAAAATTTTTTGAGCAAAAATTGTCCGGTACTTACCATGAATTTATGGTGCTGCTCGGGTAGTGATGAGTCATAATGCAATGGACGAGAAGCGGGCCATACAGCCTTGTTTACGATGGTAAAAAGTACAAAAAAATACCAACGACTTTGACTTCGAATAACTTTTGAATAGCCAGAGATAGGGACTTATTTCTCAAGGATGAAATCATCCTAATTTTTAGCTTGATTTTTTGAGATAAAAATCTTGAGTGTACTATTTTTTTTATTTATTGGCTTACAATGGTCAAGTGTGAGGTTAGAGGATGCTCAAATAAGCAAGGGGTCGGTGACGTCACACTACATCGGTTTCCCCCAGTTGACTCGTCCTTGTGTGCAGAATGGTACCGAAAATGCGGAGCTAAACCTATCAATGAGATGTCCACGATGAAAAATAGAGAATTTGCAGTGCTCATTTTTTACAAGATGACTATATTATAATAAGCAAAACTCGACGCTTAATGGAGGGAGCTGTGCCGTCTCTACTTCTTCCTCCAGGTAGAAAATCTTAATTAAATAATTCATTGCGGCTCATGATTAACAATAATGCATTTCAGATCCAACACACAAGGTGGACATCATCCTCAAAGACCGTCAAGCAGATTGCAATTTTTTTATTCAAATCGGAGGAAATTTGATCAGTTTGAAGTAAAATTTATATATTATTATCATGAATAAATTAATCACGGTACATGAATTGAACTAATTCTCAGTAAAATGTAGAGTAAAATATGGTAAAACCGACATCACTCCAAATGGTGCAACTGTACACGCTGAAAATATTCAATCATTGCCTGACATGACCACAAGGTAACTTTGGCTGATATGTACATATACATATGTGTATACATACATGTTATATGTAATATGTACATAACTTTAGATAAATATTTTGCTATTAAAATTTAGAAATGAAAAGCTTCCGCTTCCAAATAAACGCCGCAGATTTGAAGAAAGAATCGCTCGATTATCAGCCGAAATCAAACACTACAAGAGTCGAAGTTCTAATAATCGCATCCAGAAAAATGCGTTGAAGAAACTACAGAATATCCAAATTTCTAAAGCCAGAACGCGTTATGATACCAGGCGCAAAATATTAGCAACCGTGTGTGATAATAAGCTCAAAATGAAGGATGTAGAACTAACCAAGTACAAAGGCGCCCTAGCCAAGATCTTTACTCCCAAGCAGACCAATATTTTACTAACAGGAAAGAAACATGCCAAGTGGACTGACGGCGAAATAGGAAAATTCATAACTATGCGGTACAAAGCTAACACTTACGAATATATGCGAACTCTTGGATTCCCATTTGCATCGACAAGAACACTACAGAGATTCACACAGAAAATTGATTTTTCACCTGGAATACTCAAGCCAATACTCAGTCTACTGAAGAATGAATTCCAGGATGCCAGCGAAATCTCAAGACAGTGTTCCTTGGTCTTTGACGAAATGGCACTTGAAGGATCGTTCGCATATGATTCTGTGGAGGATAAGATATACCCGCCCAGTGTCAATATCAATGCATACGTATTAAGAGGATTATTCAGCCCATGGAAGCAAGTAATCGCATACGAATTTAACGATGATTTCAACCCTGAGAAGATGAAGGACATTATCACAGCTGTCGAGAATATTGGACTACATGTGAGGACATTAGTGTGCGACCTTGGGGGAAAGAACAGAGGCATGCTGAATAAGTTGGGAGTAAAAGTCAGAAAAATTCCATCCACTACCGGAAACAAATATGCTGTAGTCAGTTCTTTTAAAAATCCGATACGAACGGAAGATGAAGTATGGGTCTTCCCTGACGCACCCCACATGATCAAACTTATCCGTGATAATATGTTCAAGAATGGATTACAGTTGGAGCCTGGGATATGGTTAAGGAAGGAAGATTTCGAACAACTTCTGAAGGTAGATAGTGACGAAATGCAGTCCAACTACAAGCTTCAACGCAAACATTTAGATGTGAACGGTCTCCAAAAATGTACAGTATCTCTGGCAGTCCAACTTTTCTCAAATACCACAGCAGCATTATGGGAAAAAGTATATCCCAATCGTGTGGTTCAACAAAAATCCATAAAGCTTGTCAACGATTGGTTTGATCTTATGAACTCACGAACAACTAAAGAACACTGCATCAATAAGCAACCATTTGGGTGTAATCTTGCATCTCAAATGGAACTATTGGACGAAATGGAAACGTGGATAATGAAGATTCGTGTCGGTAATGCTAAGCATTTACTTCCCTTCCAACGTGGAATACTTACGTCGATCAATTCTACCCGTGGTCTCTTCAATGAAATGTCTGGCAGCTCTATGAGATTTTCGTATATACTTACCAATAAAGTCAATCAAGACGTCGTTGAAAACTTGTTCAGCATGATCAGAAAAGTGGGAGCCCTCCATCAGAAACCCTCGGCAGTGGATGCTAAGAGAAGACTAAAACTTATTTGTCTCTCTTGGGGAGGAAGCAACCTGAAGACGTCCGCAGTTCAGAAAGAAGACGATGAACCTTTTTTGTCTTCTAGGATGATGCACTCTTTGACCACCCCCACCACCAATGCCCTTACCACATTGACATCTGTGGAGTTACACGAAGACGTACCAGTTGTCAATACTATGACAGAAGAAAACGTTGAGGAGGTGCTTCGTTCCATGGGTCTTCCTCAGAGTTGTGCATACGGAGGAAAGGAATGTGATGGGATTCGTTGCCTCAAAATTTAGGATCAAATATCCATATTTTGTTGCCAGTCAGGAAGAAGAGCGAGCACTTGGAGGTCTAAGCTGGGTGCAAAGCCTGAAAAAAGAACGTCTCACTATTCCTTCTTTCAAGTGGAGAAACTGGGCCGAAATTTTGGATGCGGAATTCGAATCCTTTCATTTATGCGGTGGGAAGTACTATCTCGAAACCTCTTGTGGCGTAGTGAAGGGATTCACAGCTGCTCTCGTCACAAAATACACAGAAATTCCTAAAGAACCATTGGCACTCTTCATTAAAACAAAAATGTTCATCAGAATTAAAAATGCAAACATTAAGTTGAAGGAAGAGAGGCGAGAAGCTGCAAAAAAGAGGATGGAACGTTGGGGACGAGTCAGAGGTCAGACTACAATCGTGGCGCTAGATGGTGGAGATGACGATGATGACTACGAAGATTTCAATGAAGATGAGAGAGCTGAACCAGCCCAACCGTTTCACAAACGCAGTTTCCATTATTTAGCGAAAGGCAGAGTGAGACTCGGATTCTGGTGGGTATCCACCACCACCGCTGACTGTCGTTGCCAGTGCCGTATGGTGGTCCGTCTCACTTCTCACTCTCTTCAAATTGTTTACCGGGATTATGAACCAACTCGTGTTGAGAGGCTTTTCATCTCTTACACGAGTTGGTTCAGTTGATAAATCGTTGAGCTTAAGTTTTAAATTTGGGGCGAATTGGACAAACTAAATTTGCTTATCTTAAAAACTGATAAGCGCAGTGATAAGCCCGATAGCGTTTATTTTCGAGTGGATACTACCATTATATATTCAGATAAGCTTAAGTTTTAAATTTGGGGAGATTTGGACAAACTAAATTTGCTTATCTTAAAAACTGATAAGCGCAGTGATAAGCCCGATAGCGTTAATTTTCGAATGCATATCATCATTATAAATTCAGAAAAGCTTAAGTTTTAAATTTGGGGCGATTTGAGGCTGTTTTAATAGCTTCTATGTAATTACCTTTATGTATATCATAAATACCTATACATTGTTACGGCTCCTGCCGTATAAGCCCCTCCCTCAGAAACTTTGACCCCAAAAAAGTCATGGTAGCGGTCATTTCGCAGCGGACAACAAAAGCGGAAAATGTGGCACTTCTGACGAAGAAAAATCTGGCATCAGGTTGTCAGCCGCGAAATGACCGCTAAGGTCACTTTTTTAACGATTTATATGTAGGTCGAAAAACCGCCAATTTTCGAATTTTGAAAGTCTTGATGCATCAAAATGTTCATATTCATGAGGGAAGTCAAATGTCAAATGCAAGTTGGTATCTACTTCTTTCTGTACCGAGTGTACATTGACCTTCTCATTTTTCCCAATTTTCTTCCCCAATTTTTGAAGGGGGTGTGGTTGAATATAATTCAAAAACAGCTATGCTATATTAATCCCCCCACCCAAAACTGAATTTGTAATTTTTTATGTGCAATTTGGTGAAATCGATGCGAAAAAGACTTGCACTTTTGGCTCATTTTGTATCGAGAATGACAACGTTGACGAAGTTTTTAGTATCACAAATAGTAGCCATTGGGAGATTCAACTCGACAATATTTCAAATCGATTGTAAAATTTTAAAGTCATGGGAGTCCAACAATTCAATCACTGTACTAACAGCGCAAGGATTACGTAAAACTTGCAGCGGAGGGTTGTGGTATGGTTCATTTACGTAATCCTTGTGGTTTCACATCACAAGATTGGAATCGATTAATTGAAGGTGTTGAACGTTCCTTTTATATTTTATTATATGAACATGCATACTACAACAAAATCTCTTATTATTTATTTCTCATTACATTACAGACCATAAGGATTACCTAAATGGACCATACCACAACCCTCCGCTGCAAGTTTTATGTAACTCATTCATACTAATTTCTATTTCTCAGGAATAAATGATCTCCCTTTTTTGTTTCAATTTAAAGAATTTGGTCGTGAATTTATTATGGATTTATTTATGTGCATGTACTAATCATTATCGAAACAATGCTCTCTCATAGGATAAACTTATGCAAATATATCCATCCCATCGCATTACTGTCTCCATTCTTCCATTAATTTTATACACATGAGCATACGCACGAGTATACATTTACGTAGTAAAAAAACGCAGGATTTTCTACACCGTCACCAATAACGAATTAATTCAATTTTTAATTTTTCAAAAATGAAAATATATTTTGGAAATAATTCATTTGTCGCAACATGGTTAGAAGTGTAAAGTTGTCAAGCAATATTGTATCAAATTCCTACATTTAAATAATCCTGGTTTCTCTCGGTGCTAGATTGACAATAATTTCATGGTGCTCTGCGCTCTGCCCCATCGCATAATAAATATTAGTTATGTAGTTTCCGATGTTCGTGTAGTTAGCAATTTCATCTTTGTTCTTAGTACATTGCGTTGGGATACAAAGCTGGATAATATTACTTTAGGATGTCCCGATTTTTCAAAAGTTGGAGAAATCTTTGTCACCGCTGTTCAATAGTGGTGACAGTGTCACTCGTCATAATGTTTTTGACTATATATTATTTCCTTCAAGGGATCAAGGAAGAGGCGACAAATGGAAGTTATACTACTCAAATGTTCACTCCGGCAAAAACCAAGAACGAATTGATCGAGATGTTGACGACCGAGCTCAAAAACATGAACTACCCAATTACACAGGAGGATTTAGAAGTAGCAATCGCGTCATTTAAAATTGGAACAAAGTACATTGAATTATCCAGACAGCCTTTAAAATGCGTCTATAGGCCTCGTTTGACAGATATTTGGATTAGCAACAAGTACTGGCAGGTATTTGAATTGTCTACAGATGCCTAAAAAATATAAATTGCCTTGAAATAAATAATCGCCTTTCTACAGGTATTGCGGTTAACTGAAAGTGACAAAAGCGATACATATTTGTATATTTATGGTGCTTACCTCGACACAAGAGTTGAACCAAGGGTTCGCATAATTGTGGTTTCAAGTATTAGAAAAACTAGAGGCCCAAAATTTTGTCAATTTTGGTATTCAAATGAATCAAGAGTTGAAGTTGAAACGGTAATAATACTAATCATATTTTACTGTTAATAATTTCGTGTTATTTTTACTGCTTGTTTTTATTATTTTTTAGTATAAAATCAAGTCTTGTAAATACTCCAGATTTATATCAAATTCATACATATCATACAGGTGATCAGTCAATCAAGTCCATGGGTTTGGGACCACGGTGAAAACTATCATCCGTTAATTTTTACATGTAAACTTCCTCAAGATGTATCAAAAAGTAACTACACTGGTTTGAAATCAGAGAACATACCAAATTCAGTATCTTTAGTCATGGATAAGTGCGACACTGCAACAAATAACATGAAAATTATCTACGATGTTCCCTTAGTCCAGCACGATTTTGGAATTTGTTTTAAGATGCTGGATTTTCCAATGACAAGAATATCAAAGCCGCTTGTGGAGATGATCGAACTGTTAAAAATCCTTGGCGTCGGTGGGATTCACTTTCCATACTTGGCTGTAGACAATGAAACGATGAAGGTTCGAATTTCGATAGTAGATAAGTATTTAGATGCACATGTGCATCGAAAGTATGCAGTTCAAAGACTTTTAAAGAATTTTTGTGAATCAGGTTTTGAAATACTATGAAGCAACTAAATTTGTAACCTTGAAGCCATACTCCTTGCCCGGTTATCAAATAAATCTGCCACTATCTCGCCGTAAGTATCTTGAGACCATAGCACATTATGAGAGTTTATAGATAACAAAGAAGTCATTTCACTCCATTTTTTATGTTTGATCATTTAAAATTATTTTACTGATTTCAGATGTGCACTTGAGGGTAATACATTCTAATGTTATTTACTAGTGAAGTATATTTTGGGTTTAAAAATTACAAAATGCTTTTACGCAGACAAACTTAGAGGCCAAGCGGAAACAAGAATTAATCCCGTACAATGACTGCTACTTGAGTAATATTTATCGCTATAAAGTAATTGGGATTCTGGATATTGATGAGGTTCCGAAATTACTTCACGATATATTTCATAAAATTGACAATAGGAATAATTTGTTGTGGTTTATTCAACAGTTAATGTTACCAACCACTGAGGCAAACTATCAGAAATTTTTACGAAAATATTGGCAATCCAAAATACCAAAATATACATCATTTTGCTTTACAATGAAGCAATTTGTTGAAAAAATTATATTCAATCCTAATGCAACAACAGAGCTTCGCATAAAGGAGTCAAATTCAAATGTGTCGGAAATAACAAATGTACGTATTGACTAGCAAGATCAGTTATGGGGAGCCCTGATTATCCTTGATGTTATCTTAACCCTTTGCAGCACGTATTTTTTGACCGAGGACCAGTGTGCAGCGAGAGACGCGTCAGAAGCTACAAGTGCTTCCATAGAACTGATAGCGTGTTATTGGTCCATAACCATTACCCTATCAAATGTCTTGAAGATCAGCATTGCAGCTCCAAACATATTCCTATTGACTATGCCTACATACATCATCATCGAGGTATTAGCGAATTCTGTCAATACAATGCCACATCAGATACACTAGATGTAATTCAAAACCCGTTCGAGTATGATCCCCTAATTAAAAAATATGCAGTTGAAGTAATGAAACAAAGAGATCTAGTTTTGAAGAGGATACAAAACTGGGATAACAATGTTCAGTACTAGTTATTATTATTTAGTGAAAGTTTTTAGTTTTAGAAATTCAAATATTTAAGAGTTTTTCGCCACTTAAGAAATTGAAAATGTAAAATGATCTGTAACATGGCTGCAGAAGAGTTTCGATTTTCATGAACACATTTATTGTTAAATAAATGTAAAACTTCTTAACTCTTAAGTTAAGTACAACTATATAGTTTCTGTAATTTGCAATATGTAAGTGAAAGGACAGTAAATAAGTATATGATAAAATTAAATGACTTCACAAAATACGGTAACGTACATGTTTGTTAAATACGTATAGTAATTAATAATATAATAACTTATGAAGTTTTCAAATGAAAATTGCCAGGCTTGATCCCTTTGGTTGATAATTTGGATGATTCCAACGATGACGATGAATTGCCATTAGCTTCTGATGCGGCAAAATTTACAGCTAAAAAGTACAATTCCGCAGCCCCAACGATTAGTGCAATTCCAATACCAAGGAGAAGTTTGACTGCAAGTTCTAGCTCTCCGATGAAAAGTTCTACTCCACTGAAGCCGAAGAAGAAGGCACAGGCAATGGATATCACAAACTGGAAGACAGCAATCAGTGCAGAATTCATTTGTTTCACTGTAAGAAAAAATTATGTCAAAAATTATATTTTTTCCTGTGGGTTAACAAAATAGAGAAATATGTAGGAACTGTTTGACTCATTTTTTAAATGCAATTAATCACCCCTTACTTTGAAATCCAATCGTATCCTCCGGGTTATGATTGTGATGACTAGAGTTGGAAACATTTTGCGTCATACGTTGATACTCCTTGTCCGCTAAGTAATTTTTTAACGCAGCAACTCGTTTCTCTAACTCTGGGTTTCTCTCAGGTATTTGCAATTTTGGCAAAAGGACCTCTGAGTTTATTAACAGTTCATGAAGGTAAATTTTCTTTTTATTTGGATTTGCTTCCATTTCTCGCAGACTAGCAGCTCCATGAATTTCTTTCCAGAGTTCTTTAACTTCCCCAATGGATAATACAGATTTTCCGTTCCATTTAGACTGCAAGGTGCAGTCCGATTTCGATAAATACTTATTATAACCTGCCCCTGGTCTCATATGAACTGTAGAATCAGGAATCACTCCAAGATTGGAACGATCATTCTTCTCACTGTAATCGCTCATCTTTCTTTGCTACTAGTTAGTAATATGCATCAACTATAGCTGAATTACGAATTTTCTTAATTAATCAATTTGTAGATTCTTCCAGCTTTCTGCTAAAAATTTTGTCTTCTGTTTTCTTGAAAGCGTCTTTAATTTCTTCTTGTTTTTCCACAAATTTGTTATCAATCTTAACGCACTTTGCTGTCATATCATGCACAAAGATATCCCATTCGATGGCTCGTTCAGACCGTCCCTTATCTAGTTTTGTCTGTACATCAGCATCTGCTGTTGATCGTTTTTGTATAAGTTTATTTGCAATGGATTCCGCAACATGTAATTCCGCAGCAAGTTTGGGCAAATGTATATCTCCAAGAGCTTGTGTTTTCTGAAGCTCGGCACCTTTCAATTCAGTCACTCTTTCTAGGATTTTGAACAGACGATCAACCTCTCTATCCTTCCGGGAGTCCTATAAAAAATAGTGAGAGAATAGTAAAACCTTGGATGCAAACACGATGTACTTTAATTTTCTATACCTCAAATTCTTTAACAAAATACTCAATTTCTCGGTGAACCACAGGCTTGTGATCGAATAGGGACGAATAAATCTCTCGCACGTCTAAACAGACAAATCATAAATAATAAAATTTACTGCAGCTAAGTATTATTCAAACTACAGGAAAGCAAGAAACCCATTAAATGCATTGCTCAGCTCATCCATTGCTGGTCCGTGTAATAAATTATTACAACTTATTATATACAATTGTACCTTTAACAATTCCTTGTCCTGACGCCATTCCATGCAAATATCAAGTCCATTCCCTTCCAAACTCTCAAGGATGCAAAATCTGAATGAATATCCAATCAGCCAGATTTAAAATTGAAAATTGTGTACAGGAGGAGAGTAAATATGAAATAGGATGATTCAGTGATTGGTAAACATTATTGTGGAGTTGAATGTGACGCCTTACAACGCCCAACATTGGGTTGAATTACCCCAATTGTTCTCTCTTCTACGGCTTTGCTTTCGTTGTGGGCTGCTCCAAAAAGTTCAGTTTTCTCTCCACTTTCATCGGTGCAAGTGCAACCAAGTGTCAAGTGCCAAGACCAACGTTGAAGAAAGTGAAAAGTGGTCATTTTATAGTGGTTTGGAGAAATTGTCCAACAGTTATTTTACGACACAACAACCAACGCAAAGCCTAAGATTGAAATTCAATCATTTAATCGACTCATTTAATGAGAACATGAAAAACCTTAAATTATTTAACCAACAGTTTTTGTTGTTTCGAGTGGAAGTTCAAAGTCTACAAAAAATTAAATTTAACCCATTGCAACATCATTAAAACAGCGTAATTTTTTCTAAAGAAAGTAAGTTTAATGGATTCGTTGTTAAAATAAATTCATTGCTTGGGTGGACTTATGTTGTTTGACTATCGCATGTATTATACTCATTTATTGATAGTAATTTAATAGTCATGGAAGACATGACTGACTAGAATACTTTCCATGAACATTTTAAGTTTTGATCTGTGAATGTAATTAGAATGGTGACTTCATCTCTATATAAGCTGATTGCTAAAACTGAGCTTGGCCATTATTAGAGAAGAAAGAACGCTCGAACGATGAGTTTCAAGGAGAAAGTGACAATTGGTGTCATCATTTGAATTTTCGTCTTGCTGCAGTATTAATTCTTATTGCAGATATGAGCAGCATATTCAATACACAAGATAACGTTAATAATTTATTTTGTGGAAAAGTTTTACAAGTTGATGTCTATTTATTTTGAAATCCTTTCTTTTTTGCGAGCTTATTAACATTAACCTGGGCTTTATTTATGACTAATTAAGTTAAGACTTTGAAAGTCGCATTTATGTATACATGGTTTGCTAAAAAGTCTGAAAACGAGTCCGTATAAGTCCAGATAGTTTTTGTAGTAATTGTTGACTACAATTGAGCCGTCGTTCGAGCTCAACCATAATTGACGTCATCTTACATTCAGTATTTTTAGTATCCACCCACCCCTCGTTAACAATATACCCCCATGAGTAAATAAGATAGAATGAAAGATGTCCGTACACTTACCTAAAACTTGACGTCATTTTTGGACAACCCTAACGGCATTTCCGCTCTACTGACACCTAATTTTGGTATGCAATGTTAATTGCGGATGTGCTGTTTGTATATTGTATACAGTGCGATGTTGCAATTAGTAATTGAGTAGGCTTTAGTAGAATTTGACGCATGAAACCATGAAATTATGATACTTCCTTATATTATTCTGGCAAAGAATGATTGAAGGCTTGATTTTTTTTACCAATATTAATAGTATTGATTATTCAATCTTTGATGAATATGCTTCTTATTTTTAGGTTCAATGATGCATTTACCACCACTAATTAAGCTGAACCTCTTCGTTCATTCAAGATCTCATATGCCAAGAAAGAAAACAACTTATGTCTTGTCTCAATCTTGTGAGTTGTTCAAGTGCCAGTCTGTTTACTCAACAAGATGAATATAAATAACATGCCCAGCAATCTTGGTACTCTTTGGATAAGCATATGCTCATCGCTCATCTATTAGTGAAACGAAGCGACAAGGCACAAGGAAGAATGCGAATGCGAATCATTCATGCAGTGGATGCAGTAAAACGTAAAAAGTAAAAGAACTATATATGAGAACTATAACAGACCAACATCCATCAGGACTTTTGTGTACAATAACGAGGTGGAATCTCATGGTTGGATGGATTTCATAATAATGTTTTAATTTGGTAAATGGGCTTCAAGTTACTCTTCCTGCCACCATCCAGCTAATTCATTTGGCTGTTTTACCTCCGGACGAGACAATATTATTTCTTCTGTGATGTGATACTGATATTTGGATCTATGTACATAGATACATACATCCAACATGTAATGGACATGATGCTCATATAAAACTCTTTAAAAATTGGCAACGCATTAGGTTCTATCACTTGTATTATTTATAACATTAACAAAATATTAAAGCCCAGCTCGAAGTGGAGGATCTATTAGTATTTAAATAAATAATCATACGATACGGATACTATACTTTCGCCACTACCATCCAACAAAACATAACATATTATTTCTTGATTTATATTGGTCGTGTAGGAGGGTTGCCGGTTCCTCCGAAGTTGAAGTACAATGCATCAGACTAACTTTCGCCCTCATTGCAAATTTTAATGTCTGAGACTCTGACAAAGTGCCAGGTATAAGACCGAGCCAGAAAAATTGCTATCTTGTTCAAAAGTGACCCAATTCATTCACTCGTTACCAAAATGCCTGAAGTAATTTCCATCAGTGATTTTATCGAGGAAACTCGTGACGATTTCCACAACCCCATCACATCCACGTTTGTTTCCAGAATACCCCACTGTCGGAATAAAGTCAACCACTTGGAAGAGGTTCGTAAAATATTTTTTACCTCTCACCAAATCGAACAAGAATGATGTACCTTGACGTGTAAATCAATCAAAAGTTCTTTGCGCTGACCTGCATAAATACAAGTATGAAGGTAAAGTAGAGGTCCTCTACTTTACCTTGAGATGAGCATATCGAGATTATTTGAAATATTTGGATACATGTAGGCGTGCTACGAGCCCTTCAAATTAAAACTATTTACAAATAATGAAATAAATAATTAAGAATGAAATTTCATGAAAAGGACTCCAAGTTCAACTGATTTGACAAATGTTATCGTAATTGTAAATGTCTGGAGAACTGACATTAATTGTTATATGGAATATGTGATGGGTGAAGTTGAATGGATGTGTGATTGTGATTGTACATTACCTTGAGCACAGGAAGAGGAAAGAGTTCTTTTATTTCTCTTGATTAGAGTTTCCTGCAGCTTATTTATTGAACCCATCTTTTGTCAAACACCGAAACATCTCCATTGATTTATTTTCATTCATCCTGAATCCAAACTTTAATCCCACTTTTGCTATCTCAATCATCACATATTATCTCTTTAATTAGACGCCAAGTCTTAATCTTGTCAAGTTTTAATCTTTTCTCCTCACTTCATGTTAAGTATTATAATTATCGTTAACAGACCTGGCCAAATTAGTAATTGACAATTACAATTACAAATTAGTAATTGTAATTTGTAATTTCAATTACTTCATTCAAGAAATGTAATTGTAATTGTAATTTGTAATTGAACTAAATGTAATTGGTAATTTGTAATTTGTAATTGCACATTTCAACATGGTGTAATTGTAATTCAATTACTTCTTCAATTACAATTACTAAATCACCATCTATCGTGAGTAGAACAAAACAAAATTCAACGTTTTTGTTAAATTTGTCGTATTTCATACGTGAGCATTTCACAGCCTTTCACTTTTTGGATTAAAATAAACATTGTTTCGCATTCGCAATTTTTTTTAATTACATCAGAATGCATTACTAGTGTGTATTTTCATGCATAAGGGCCTTGTTCATGAAAATAAGTAAATGCTACTAATTACACAATTGAATTATAAGACAAATTACTAATTATAATTGAGATTATTTTTAATTAACATTCATCATTTAATAGTCAAATAATTTCAATAATACTTGTTCACTTTGAACAATATGCATACTGATAAATGCTTTTACTTCCAAAATTTGCCTTTGCAAATTATTTTTTCTAAGTGGAAATTTTGAGGTAAATGCATTTAAATTGTTAAACGTGAACAAGTATTGAAATTATTTGCCTATTAAATGATGAATTTTTATTAAAAAATCTCAAATGTAATTGTAATTTGTGATGTAATTCGATTACGTAATTTGTAATTGTAATTGAAGCGAAATTTTTTTAGAGAAGTAATTGTAATTTGTAATTAGCAATTGAGTTTTCCTGAGTAATTGTAATTTGTAATTGTAATTGAAGCAATGTTGTGATTGTAATTGTAATTTGTAATTTGACTTCCAAGTAATTTGGCCAGCTCTGATCGTTAATATAAGTAACATGTACCTCCATATCGGTATAATAGGCGACCGGGGATGAAATTGAGCGAATGAAATAATAAGGCCATTGCAAGAGTACCATTGCAATACAATGATTGCATAGTAGCTTATGTACATACACGACACCTACGTATGTACATATGCAATAAAGCGAAATACCGAGTTGGTTATATACTATACTCATCGTCAATCAGTTATCATCATGAATGAATAAACTATCTTCCGCACTACTGAATATGTAGACGATTCATTCTTTTTCTTTCTTTGATGTCAAATTGTCCACAGACTATTTCCGGCTAGTGATACTTATGAATTGCGAATATGAAAATCTGGGAAAGGTCTCCGGTGAATATGCTATGACACGAATCAAGAATGTCATCTCTTCTAATCACGAACATAAATTCTCTGCTAAAAGGGCAAACTAATGTCATTTTTGCTCAATAAGGAGGTTGTTTTATTTGTTAGCTCAATGAAATTGTGCCGTTGACTCTCAAAGGTCAACAAAAGTAGTACGCTTAAAATGGCAGAAACTTTCATGGATACATTTTTATGTGCTACATTTCAGTGTTTGGAAGCTGATCGAGAGGGTCTGGTGAAAATGAAGAAGGTGAGTTTATTGAAGCATATTTGTTTGTTATAAGTAGTTCGTACTTAATAGTAAGTTAGAACGCATTGTTTGATTTTCCAAGTTAAATATCTTTCCTTTACGTATAATTAAATGTTATAATAAATCTGTTAAATCTGCATGTCTGTTGTAATATGATAGGCTATGAAGCAGATACACCAGAGTGGAACAACAAATATGGAAAGTGAGCTGTTGTTTTCGAGATGTTTGGAAAGGTATGACGTAATTCTAGGATTCGTGTAATTGAAAATTAAATCGATATAATTTATTGCATTAAAATCAATCTGCATATCTGCAGGGTGGGATCCTCGGCCCTTGATCAAGAGCCAGAACTTGCTGCTGCCTTTTTAAAATTTGCAGTTATTACAAAAGAACTCTCAAATCTCAAAAAGACCCTTGTAAGAACATATTATGTAGTAGAGGAGAGACTTATGTATTTATAATAGGCTTATCTGATACGATGATAGATGCAAAACCTACAAAACATGATCCTATTCCCATTGGATTCAGTATTAAAAGGGGATATTCGCGGAGTAAAAGGTGAATTGAGAAGACCGTTCGACAAGGCCATAAATAATTATGAAACTAGACATTCCAAACTAGAAAAGGTAACTTGAATCATAGCTTCGGTAACATAGCTTGATCCCTTTTGTTTTTCTGTGACATAATTTATAATTTTGTCATGCAATTTATATTGCAGGAAAAGAAAGCTCAAGCCAGAGAGGCTGGAATGTTTCGGAAAGGTAGTCTCAGAACTCAAGCCAATTCTGAACTTAACTGGTAATTAAAACCTCATTTATGTTTGCACAGAAGTCATCCCCGCGGAGATAGCAGATGAGACGGAGAAAGAACGACGACTCCTCCAATTGAATCTAAGCGAATATTTACTCAAGGCCAACGAAATAAAGACGAAAAAGGGCGTAGAGCTTTTAAAGCACTTGGTGGAATATTATCATGCTCTCAATAGGTATGAAACTATTTAGTTCAAGTTCACCTCCCTAAAATAAATATATTTAGATATAGTTGTGTCTAGTCTATATCAGGCAAAAATCTATAAGCGTAGAATATAGATTCATGATATCAGGTTGCTTGTGGTATATGACATCAGATATATATATCCCCTCTGGTCAATAGAATACAAAATCTAGAACAGCATCTATTAGTCATAAACTATGGGAATTGACTCAAAATATTTATACGCTAAAATTTTCCATTCTTTAAATCCTATCACGTTACAATTTGTTGTTGGATGGACTAAATCCCTTGTGTCGTTAGTTAAATGATAGAATTAAAAACGAATTCCAGCAGGTAAATATGATATGACACAAAATTTATATTTATTTGAGTTAGTTGCATGTCATTTACATGAAATGGTAATCACCCTACCGTTGTGGTTGTGGTGACTTTCTATTGTGTGCGTGTGAGAAGAGCGCAATAGGACATTTTATCATTTATCTGCAACTTTGAAGCGAGAGGAAATATATAGTATAAACTATACTGTATAGTACTTAATAGTCCGATTGATAAACCGCTTTGGGAAAAATAAATGTCAATATTTGCTTCATTTAATTTGATATTTGCAGCTATTTTCAAGACGGATTGAAAACTATGGAACATTTCGGCTCGTCCTATGTTGGTATTCTTTCTCAAACACTCACAAAAATAAGACAGAAGCAAGATGACGAGAGGAGAAGACTTACAGGTACTAATTAATCCACAGATAAAACAACGAAGCAAAACAGTCACTTAAAATTTTGAAAACAATAAATCTTAAATGATATTCTGGTTTTCCAGATATTCGTACTCTTCTCAGGACGACCCCTGTCTTGGAGAAGGAGGTACATAATCTTGCCTACATGCCTGTGTCCGGCTCGCTTATGAATGTACTTATGAGTTTTTTTTGTTTATCTCATTTATTACTATTATTTATAGCTTCCTGAAAATTATGCTCTACGTGTTTCGCCATGTATTGTAAATTTATACATATTTTGGTTTTCCAGAATGTATTATCTTATTTACTTATATGTATATGTATATATCTATATGTGGTCTTAAAGGCAGATCTGTAGCCCATGTATTAATGTATTGCTGTATACTTATAGCTCTCGAACCCCAATCCTCAAGCTGCTCCTGGTAGTTACTCATTGCACCAAATGCAGGGTAATAAAAAATTTTCATTATTCACTTAACAAAAAACAATTTGCATGAAGTTGTCTTGAGGTTAGAAAAATTAATAAACCCATATTATTAGGTAATAAAAGCGTTGGTGTTACCAAAGTTGGGTATTTGAATAAAAAGTCTGAAGGAAAGATGCGACGGGTGTGGCAAAAACGGAAGTGTGCAGGTTAGCATATACACACATACGTAAGAAATTCAACACTAATTGCAAGTAGTATCATTATCATGATTAATTGTTTGGTTTTCTTTATTTCATATGCAGTACAAGATGGGTAATTCGACATTATAAACTTGGAACTATAGTCAAACATACATATGTATATGTGTAGGTCTATCTTACTCATTCTGTTTTTAGGTTTTTACAAATATTTCACGGTGATGAAGGAAAGGTGAGTCAAATGAGAGGAATGTGATAGTTTTATTGGTAACTGTTAAACCCAAAACTTTCTTTCATAGACGGGCGAAATAAGATGCTCAATTTATTGGACTATTGAAATTATTTGTTGAAACATTTTATTTACAGCAACCAACTAAAGTCAATTTACTCACATGTCAACTAAAAATCGTATCCGAAAATAAGAAATTCTTCGACCTGGTCTCTTATAATAGAACTTACCATTTGCACAGCGAAGACGAGGCTGAGGAATGGATATCAGTACTTCTTAATAGCAAGGTACAAATTATGAAATATGACTACGATAGTACATTTCTATGGACTAATTATATTTGGAACTTGTAGGAAGCTTCATTATCCAAAGCGTTTGATCGTCAGGTAAATCAATTTATGAATTTAGTGAGATTTTTATTGATTTGTGAGTATTGTATTTACAATCATTTTTGCTTAATTAGGTGGACAATGACGGACTGGTGGAGGTATGCATGCAATTACGTGTTTGTATGCAGATTTAAATGAGGGGCCACTGCAAGGCCCCTTATTTAAAGCTTTTCTAACTTACTATTAGATTTCTCGTGCATTAAATGATTAACTTACTTAATTTTCTTCTCAGTTGACCCAAGCCATCTTCGGACATATTCATCGTCTTCCAGGTACACTTTGCTTATATGCACTTGATTTGAGGAAATTATTTCTTCTGACGTTTCTGTGATTTTATTTTAATTTCCAGGAAATGATAAATGTGCTGATTGTGATTCTGTAAAAGGTATGTGAGAAGTTTTTAGGGACATGTACGAATTTTTTAATGAACTTGTCTATATTTTCTTTAACATTTGCAGAAGTAACATGGCTTTCTGTAAATCTTGGAGCAATAGTTTGCATAGAATGTTCTGGGGTTCATCGAACATTAGGGGTTGGAGTGTCCAGAATTCAATCAATTTCTTTAGATCGAATCCCACCTTCTTTGCTCATTCTTTCTGCTTCATTAGGAAATACTGCGATAAATGAAATTCTTGAAGAGAACCTCAAGCCTAGTGACAAGCCGGACTCGTCGGCTTCAATGTACGATGCGCAGAAAATTATAAATCTAAGAATAAATATATTTTTTATACTTAATTTTCTTATCATCAACAGGGAAATGAGAACAGATTTTATTCGAGCAAAATACGTTGACAAACAGTTTGCTTCGCCAATTACTTTTGATGCTGAGCTGCTATCAAGGCGGGTAGAGCTTGCAATTGAATCGGACGATTTGCTTCTTCTAGTCAGAACATTTGCACAGGGTGCCAAATTAGGACAACCACTTCCAACAAAAGTACATGACGTTACAAACATATTACAAACATTATAAATGTTGCCCTTGATTTTAATGTGATTTTGTTATACAGGAAAACGGTGAAACTCCGTTACATGTTGCAGTCGTGAAATCCTCACTACCGATGGTAGATTTTTTAGTTCAAAATTCAGGTGCGTCTGACAAGAGGACAAAATCTGGGAGTACTCCACTCCATTACTGTGCAATGTATGGGAAAACAGAACCAGCAAAACTATTACTTCGGGCAGGTCAGTCACCATCACCACTTCAATATGGTGTAATGTATGCAATTATGGTAGAGGCGCGTATAAAACTATATACATCGAATCAAACTATTATTACATTTATTACAAGGTATAGTAGCTAGTTTGGATCGAATAGATGAAGGAATATATCTCATCCAAACTACATTTCAAACAATGAAAACTAATTATATAAAAATAACTGCTAAATAAATAAAAAGCTGATATGAAATGCTGATTACTGATTATTCTTTGTTCGAGCAGGAGTTGATCTACAAGTTCAAGATGAAAATAAATGCACCGCACTTGATGTTGCCAAACAGCGAGGTCATAGAGCTGTAGAAGATTTGGTAATTCTATTTTTATGCAACAATAACATTATTTTTTTAGAGATTTCATCTACATTTTCTTATTATACATATTTGCAATTATTTCTTATAGATATTACATGCAATGGAAGGAAAGAAAACGCTGTTCGAAAGTGTAGATTTCGATTGGAATCTTGGAGCAGAAGATTCTAGTAATTCTTCATTATTATTGGTGATATATGTATATACTATCCTTACTAATCCGAATCCTTCATTTCTCAGCTGATTTCTCCGATGACGAAGCTACAGTGCTGGATGATCCATCCTTGACGCCAGAAAAAAAGCGACGTCCATGCTCCTTCCTTGAAAGTCCATACAAATCCTCAAATAGTGAGCCTTATTGTATAAATTAAGGCAATTTATAGTTTAAAGATTTTTACGTTAAAAATATAACATGTTTAGGTGATTCGCGGAGCCTTGTTAGGACCCCTTTTGCAACTGAGGGCTCATTGAAGAATTCAAAGTTCAAACGAAGCGCCCCTCCCCCTCCATCCCCATTGGGTGGCCCAGGGCACCAGCGAAGTCCATCAGATACATTGATTGGCAAATACGGGGGGCGATTAGTCTTACCACATGGAGAACCTCCTTTACTACGAAAAACTAGTATTCCAATTTCTCCACCTGCGTCCTCAGCAAATTCGTCATTTTCTTCGCATATTCAACACAGTACTCCTATTTCTACACCATACAGTATGCTAAACACTTCGTTAAATATTAGTAGCACCGCAATTACCCCGACGTCATTACCTAGTCCTGTCGTTACTTCATCCACGATTATTCCCAATGGAACAAAAACCTATCCGATAGACCTTGGCAGCATGAAGGTATTTATTTCAAAATGCATATACCTACATCATTAGATTAACTAACAATCAACAATAGGAGCGCAAAGCATGTTCAACTCAGATTTTTTTGTGACCCACATAGTTTGATAGATCAACTCTTCATAAACAATATTTGGGGCACTTGGCCCTCAGAAGTTGGTCTATCAAACTGTGTGGGTCGCAAAAAGATCTGAGTTGAACATGTTTTGAGCTTCCATTGTCTATGCAAACATCAAACGTATACTTAATAATCTTTTTTTTATTACAGAGGTGTCGGGCTCTGTATGGTAAGATACTATTTACTTATATGCATGCATATTACAGAGTTTAATATATTAATATACATATTCCCAAATGATAATACTTATAGATTGCGAGGCTGATAATAATGACGAAATCTCATTCCGGCAAGGTGATATTATACTGATCGTTAATGAAAGAACAGGTGTGCTGAACGAATCAACAATTAATTAAGTAAAAATTATACAGGATAATTATTGATAACATTGCATTTGACATGTATCTTACAGAAGATGACAATTGGATGGAAGGTGTTGTATTGGACGATGACAATGGCAACCGTAGAGGAATGTTTCCTGTGTCTTTCGTCCAGCTTCTAGACTAATGTTTTATTTATACCCAATTGTTATTTATTTATTTATTTCTTGACAAACTACTCAATTGACATACACTTCAAGTTTCTCCCTTTCATAAAGCCAAACGTTTTAGAAATCTACATCTTGAAATCATACCATTTGAACTTTTGATGTTGTCTCACAAAAATTAAGCTACAAACATTATTTTTAGATATAGCTTATAGGCTAGATCTAATACTTGTCGATGCATTTGCCCTTAATGATCAATCATTCAATAGCTACAACGCTTTCACCGAGTATTTCAATGTACATCATAATGTTACAAAATTCATCCATCTGTTAAATTACTATAATTAGCAACGATGAGTGTAAAACAAGATACCTATCTAATTTTACCCGATTTGTTTAGCCAAATACCAAAAGTCAGGCAAAATAACACAAATAATCATGACTCAATTTTGTCGATAATCATAAGCATTGAGTATGAGCATGTAGATCATTCTCGTATAATTTTCGTATTTATTTATTTATTAGTGACTCCAAATATTGTGATAGCATTATTTGTGAAACAATAGTTTAGGTAAATTGTACTCACATCACATCATTGGATTGATCAGTCAAATAATAATATTGTGCGACAACGAAATGTTAAAAAATTCTCATCATAATCTCAAATTTATAAAAAAAATCGTTTTAATTACAATACAAAGTTGACAGATATGGTAAGATGAATACTTATGTACATAAATACGTAAGTGGGTGTAGCACTAAAATTGTATCTTGTCAAGTACAATAAAAATCTTATTGTTATGTATTTGAAACCTAAATCCAGTCACACAATTTTACAATTTAATTGTAATAACTATTAGTAAGATAAATTTACACTAATTGTAGCTGAGAAATGCTACGGTTCGTCTGCACCCTGAAGTTACCTATATCATGTATACCTCATTCATTCCTAGATATTTTCACGTTATACTACTGCAAGTACAAGTGCAAATGTTTTTAAATTTTATTTATTCATACTTTATTGACAAAAACATGTTTGATATTACAATCGTAGTGTTGATTATGAATATTAAAATATTTAAACATGTAAAATTATTAATTCTTATTCTGTTCCTACAAATCTGACAACTCATTGCAAAATGTCCTGGAAATATAAAATTAACAAGACCTCACGAATTAAAAGATTGTTGAAATATTTTGCTTTAGATTTTAGAAGTCTCGAGGGGCACACGACCTTTGCCTCATCCATATACTCAATACATACATAGATTACACAAGACACGCACAACAGTGAGTCGTTCAAATTCATAGAGTTATGACGGTTTTGAAACAATTTTAGGTCACCGTGTTGGGTCCACGAGTTCATAATTTCTGCAATTATATTTTCTTGGAAGTCATTTTTGTCACCAAGTTTCAGCTTTCTACGACATTTTTTTTGTTCCCACGTACTCTAACCACCTAGGACTCCCACGGCCCACCGGTCACCCACTAGGCCGACGCCCATCTTCGAACTCATCCTCACTTTTAATCTTTTAATCCTTACAGCATCATTATTCTGTAGATTACGCAGTTAAAGTTTGATAAATATTATAATCTGTCCTTCATCGGCAATCGCACTACAGATACTGCACTGTCTATACACATATGGAATGCAACTACAGAGGTTAGGGTAAAGGTTTGTAGTTTTGGAGGTGTGACCATCGTCATCATATGATCTTGAGATTATCAATCCTGGCTGAAAGTGGATCTTGTTTTCCTCTGTGAAGTCTTAACGAAAAAACACCATCTCATTGTATCTATATATCTACATATTTATCTTAATAAATAAATTGCATGGTGTGAAGCCTCCTTATAATTTGCAATTATACGTGCATACGTATTTATATATTTATATGCATAGTTCGCTTATCCTTAGTTATGCGAATTAAACTTTGGGCTAATATTGGTAGTAAGATGAGCTTGATCCCTGATCAACTGAAATGGTTAAACGCATTTCCATTGACCAAGAGCAAAACCACTAAAATCATCTTTGTCACATTCGAGTCTTTTTCCAACCAGCTTTTATCGGATCTTTGCTCGTTTGACACCTTGAGGGGGAGGGGGAATAAGCCCATCCCATGGGCTTAACGTTGAGTTAGAGGTTTAACTACAAAAGGGCCTGAAAATCTAGCCTTGCAAACATCACGCTAATTCTTCCTTGTTTTTCTCCGCAGTTTAGATTAATGTATGCACGTTAATCTCTTACTGTCCAATTAATCTCTATACATACATATTTATGTATATGCATACACACAATCCTGTTACCCTCTCCCATTCATGTGCATAAAAAAGGTTAATCTTTGAAATGCACAGCTTTTTTGGCAGCATTTTATAAATTCTTAATTAACAGAGTTACGCCTATGTGTATTACATATACTAAATATGTACATATTGTAGAACTAAGTGCATTTATATTTTAAAATATGTTTTTAATATTAAATTAATCCTCGCTGGATATTTAGAAAGTGCATTTTCATGGTCGATATGCATGCATTAATAGTATCTGCATATGCTTACTTATTTGCTGACATTGACATGCGGTCGTAAAACACAATTTAACTCAGTAAACGAACTTGGATATACAATATATACAGAATATTGTCAAATTAAGCGAAAATTCAAAATTGAAACGATACATGCATCTAAATGTGCAGTTATATACTGTGCATCCACATAAAATGATGTATGTGCATATGTTAGGGATGCATAATATTCTTATTTACTAGGTTTGATATCACGGGGGCGCACACCCATTAATAAATAAATTTTATCTTCAAAGTTGAACTTTTTCTTCTGCTATCACTCAAATACTACTAGCGCAATAATATTTAATGCTAATATTTAAGATGCTCAAACCCCTTCTCGATCTGCCACTTACATATCTAGCATGATTTTAGATACATATACTGGAACTTATTATACGCATGAAAGGTTCCGTTCTCCCACACACGTAATGAAATAATCTTATATAAGAAGTTATCATGATTTCATGTTCCGTGGGATCGAGACTCTACTGAAAACCACAAATTCCTGCCCAAATCAAATGAGCCTGAGCCGTCAAATGCTGTGTCACAGATCAAAAATGTGGCCACACTCATAATGTCAAAAGATCATTTGTCCAGCCCATGCCATGTCACAGCCACGGCTTCTTGTTTCTTGTGGATAGTCTTTGAAAGACAGGCTCTCATCACGTGAAATGCAACTGATCAGGCAGTAATAAAAAGAATTTGAATCATATGCTAAATTTTTTATAATTTGGCATATTATTACCATATCATGAGCTTTATTATGACGCATCTCTTGAGATTTCGATATTCGCCACTCTTACCAACTTCGAAGTAAGCTACTAGGACAATACATGTACACGGAATGTTTCTTACATTTTAAAAATGCTCCCTCACCATCAATTTAATTCCAGAAACACTAGTGAGTAAAAAAAAATATATATCTAATTTCGCAATCATAGAAAAAAAGTTTGTGCAGAATAACAACTTAAAAGTACCAAACAAAGAAGATACTTATGACTTACGTGACAGACACAGGATGTTTATGCACATGAGAAAGTCTGGTCGCAAGACATATGTACTCGCTGAATTCTATTATTCTTTACGAGCCATAAGGTGACTCGTGTATAAAATGACATCGTGCTTCAAGTCTTGAACTTAATCACGTCATCGTGAAGAACTATCGAATTTTCTTGACGGGGTGGTGCAATGGATTGGTGGTTGTTATTCAAGAATGTTATCAACATGAACAGGGCAAGAACGATATGCATAAAATATATGAACTATAACGAGTGTTATAAGAAGAAGAAGGATACTGATCGTCAATACCGTCAGAGCAAATCATGGACTAATATAAAATTAGTGCATGCAAGTCAACTTACGTACATAGTTATCCTTAATGGAAGAGGTTGGAGCTTTTCATCCGCTTTTTAGACTAAACTACTTAAATCCTTACTTATAGAAATTGACGACCAGTCGTTTAACCACTTTGTTCAGTGATCCATCTTCTTCTCTTCACTTTCCAGTGAATCTCTCGTGTTCTTCCAGCTCAATATATCCACCAATTAAGTTTTTGTTGGATACTACATACAGTGCAGGGCTACAAACTCAGCTCAATATACGTACAAGAAGAAATCCTTTCCTCAGCGTCAAGTGATACAGTTTTTTGTTATCACTCCAAAGTCCAACCAACTCGGACTACGTTTTACAACTTATTATTTAATCATAGCAAAAATTTCTCAGAGAAATTTGCATTTTTGACACATTATTCAATAACACAAATAATTTACAAGAAAATACCTACTTTCGTCCACTGAAATATATCTACAATAATTTTTTCCCCTGGGATTTTCTAAACCTGGCAATTTTATGATATTCGTGGCTTCAGAATTTAACGTGAGAGTGGTGCTTGGTTTCAAAGTAGAAAGCTTTAACATAATTGACGTACTGAAGCCCTGTTCATGTAAGTTGACTCCATTTATGTGCATTATGCTAACGTATGTATGTATGTAGATAAGTGTTATATGGAATACAGCAGCAAATGCATATGGAAATTTCCAACTATTTTTTTGCTCATTGATGATTTATTGGTTCCATTCAACTCGACCACATTTCTGTTTCATATAGTTCACTCAAGTCAAAAATATCTTACAGATTCATAATTAATAATTGATAAGCCATTATAATATGGACAAATTATGTTGATGCTCAATACAAATCCATGTATTTGCTCGTGTGTGTGTAGCCCGACACATAAATCTATAAATTTTTGCTGAGCAAAAATCCTGTCAATCACAATGAGTGATAATAAACTTATGAAACTTTAGTTAGACTCACTACACACACAAATGCTGGGAATTATAATGTTCTCTTATTATTGATACGGTTTATTTGAGTTACGATTTTTTCAAGGGTGTGTCCATTTTTTGACATTGGCATTTGCACAAAAACAAAACCTCGTGCCGAGCTTTAATTACCAATATTTAAATACTATGTTTAATCCAAACGAGTATTAACGACGAAATCATCTTCACCTTGACCTTCGGTTTTTTACTCTGGTCGAAGATTAAGCGTGTTTGAATGTGTGTTGAAGAGTATTGCCGTATATTTACGAATTAAAAAATTGCAGATACCAGAACGGGTGAAATGTCGTCTATTCCAATGGGAGCTTTTGCAGCCTATAAGGTTCGGGACAATAATAACAGTGGGGCATCAGCTCAGGAGAGAACTTTTTCGTTCCAAGCACAGTCCACGGCGTCTTCCGGTAATTTGCACTTTCTTCTTTTAAGGCAACCCCTACTTCATTTTCCATTCTCAATTTAGTTAACTTTGCAGAAATGAAATGCGATCAACCGGAGCAATACAACGGGAAACTTATGAAAGCTGTGTGGGGGATTTACAACCGGTATTCGGTTCACAACATTAAGTCTCATATTGCATTCGACAAGGCTTAAGTTAGGCTTTTATCAGATTTACTTGAGATATTACTAGTTTTATTAGAATAACAAATTTAACAAATTGACACATTATATATATTTTACTCAAAACTTGTATTATTTACAATGAATAATCTCGAACTCAGAGTCATAATTGCTACTGATTTAACCCTGTGGACTTGAATCTTCTTGTGTGATATTCATAATTAAGTTACATAAGTGCATAAACATGTTCGATCCTCCAAAAAAATTGGTTATAAATCAAAGAATTTAAGAGTTTATTGGTATTGTACTACTACTAATAATAATTGGTTACTAATATGAAATTCCCACAAATCTTGTATGTGTAATTTGCTGTTTAATAAGTATGTCTGAAATCGTGATTAGCAAGACTGGTAACTAGCTCATGCATAAATCTGATGGTCTAATAAAGACAAGCCTGTCAAGTACATCATAAACGTAAATCCTATTTTTTATTATTTAATTGTCCCTAAAACTGCTCAGGCACGTTGTTCATCGACTCGAGAGATTTCTTGGCACACATCGTCCCTAAAATGGCACAATCAGGCCAACTCATTCCTTGCAATATTCCCGAAATGAATCCTGTGAATAAGACATGGAGAGAACATAAGTATTAAATAACGCCTCTTCCCGTGGCCTTGCGGTTTCAATATTGTATGAAACCAATTACCCGCATTGAGACAATCCCCGGCTCCAGAAACGCTTTTGATCCCACCTTCTCCTATATCGGGTGGTGGATAAGATGCAATGGACAGACCACGCGTACCACCAATCTCACCGTGACCTTGTCGGGAAATTATCTGAAACCATCCAATTAAATAATTGACAAATTAGAAGTCTTGGAACCAGCTCATTTCTCCCTTCCTTCCTTCAACTTGTGTACAACTATCAACTATGTTGCGACCCATGTTTATTATTATACCCAACTCTGTTCTGTGCATGTATATATGTACGACTGACTGAATTAGAGAGCGAGATGGGAAAAGGGTTGATATTGAGCAAGGAGTCATAAAACCTAGCAAAATCTTGATATGTATGTACCAGTAAGCAGCCCTACTTAGCTAAGGTTCTCATGCAGGAAGCTGCTGCGTAAAGGATTTGATCCTGCAAATTACCTGGATTCCATACTTCCCGTTTGTGAGGAGAATTATCTCCAGTCCGACAAACAAAGAGAAGCACTGTTCGTACAGGGATTGCATTTTGGAAAGGTCGAAGGTGAAATTGTTATTGGTCCCTCCAGAGTGGGTCGCAGATAAATCGTCGTCGTCTAGATCCATTTCTACGATACTCGCTAACTCTCTCAAATTTGGGGAGAGAAATCGCACACATTTCCACAATTCTCGAGGGACTTGCAGGATTTTTTTGGCTTTACGGACTTCAGTCGGTTCAAACCAAACTGCAATTTCACCAATTATCGGATTATCGCAAACACTCGAAAAATCCAATCCGAGAAGTTACTCAGCATACATATTTCAATATATTTAAAGCGTCAATTAATTTATCAAAACATCGTCATCATCATCCGTCCGTCACCATTGCATACATACATATTAAAATTTGCATGAATTAGACATTACATAAGTATGCTAATGGTGTTTATGAAAGGTGTTTACGTGGGACTCTGTTCTCGACGCAAAGGGTCATAACATGGGTCATGACGTCCACAGAGAGATTTCCGTCAATAATCACAATCCTAGAATATAAATAAAGTATTCAATCAGCTTTAAAAAATATTTCGTCATAAAATTCCCACGGTTTATTATTAGAACAGATTTTGTTATCTGACCCTGCATCCCGAATGACTTGTCCACATTGCTCCGTGATGACCTTTGCACTTATCAAGTCATAAATTTCCATGTCTCCGAGGCCAAAAACACATTCTCCGTTGGCATTGAGGAGAGCCGAGTAAATGGCGGTGGAGGTGTCGCTTAGGGTGAAAATTTTACTGGTGTCCTATTTCACACAAGACAAGTGAAAGTAAAGAAGATTGATCTCTGGTAGCGATGATCAAGGTGCACACGTGTGGGGTGTGTGGTCTGTTTACTATTTATGCTATTTCCCTCGTCTATCTCAAGATAGAAATAAAATAGGAACTCGTGCTTTGAAGATGTGAAAGAGCTGTGGCTCATAAAAGGCATGTGTCGTCGAGAATTTACATAATTATTTTTTAAACAAATATATGAACTTTTAATGATAATGAGAATTTGCATGACATGATAAATATTAAATTTTGTATGGTTTTGAGACTGGAGACCGGTAGGGAAATTTGAACCGGCTCCAGTCTGCCTGCTGATAATTGAGTTTTGTTCACATTTTTATCTTTCACAATTTGTATTTTTCTAAAGTTTTGACCTCTCCTCTCCTCCTCTTTAAATTAAATTAAATTTCAAGGTGTTCTTTTGTGATTGGTCGAGAGGAGGAGAGGAGGAAGTGCTTTGTAAAGTTAGCGTCGCTTTTTCGTGTGATATTCGTGCACAATTGTGAAAATTAAGACAGTGTCCCTCCAGCTACGAGAATAACAGCACGATTTCTCCACTCGTCTCTCTAACACTCAAAATTTGTAATTGGCTTTTGTGTGTAAAATAAAATGACACCAACCCAGTAACCAACTTGTGACCACACCGCCGCCTTATTTACGCCTACATGGTCACCCTTTGCCACCGTTAGTTACACAAAAGTCACACCACACACACAGAAACATACATTTCTCTGTTTAAAAAAAACTACAGCATGTCAAGTGTATCCAACCAAGAGGAACGCAAGTGCAAGTGCATACGTACTTACATATCCTGCGAGGCTTCATTTTTATTGGAGAGAAAGCCACACGTAGCGATTGTAAATTGCAAATGTGTGAATAGCCCGTTTTTTTTAGAAGAAAATGGATTACCGAAGAAAAGATTTATTTTCTTACCATTTTGAGCGTGTGAAAGTGCCTCCACAGCTCCCTCCCAAATAGGTCATCTCCAATACAGGATATCAACACAGGATTGTGCTCCAATTTACTCAGAGCTTCTGCCAAATTGCGACCAACTCCTCCGGCTGCGGTTCTTATTTTTGTTCTATGCGTCCTTCCGTCCGACTGTCAAATTTTGTTTACACAAAAAAAAATATCAATCGATTATGTACTGTAACAAACCTGATCTCTAGTTTCCACTTCATCATGTAAGTAAATAAATGAATTTCATACACGGGTTATCTTACACGGGTTGCTAATCGGACATAAGTAATACAAAAGTTGACCATTTCATTATCGTACTCATCCCCTGATATTTCCAGGTGTCATCATTGTGCATGTCATATTACTCATTTAATTTGTTTATCTTGTCGCTTCTCATGTGAGTGGTTGTACGTGTCATTGTATTCATAACAGAAAACTCGATTTGCACTGTTAACTTCGTAGTTTGAATAAGTGGGCATAAAAATAAATGTGAACGTGAATGCACGCAGTCTAACGAGAAAGCAGTTTAATTTCAAACTTGCTCATCTAAAGTATTCTTGGAACGAGAGTGATTTTCTCATATTTCTCAAATATTTTCCCAGTGAGGAATTTCAATCCCGAAATGTTAAATCAGAAAAAGATTATTCAAAGTAGGATAAATCCATGTTTCTTGGAATAAAATAATTATGATTACATGTTTTAAGTACCACGTATTTATTTACGTGTTTCCGATATAATAAGATGCTTTCATCCATATATTAAGGACTGGGGACACTAATTATAATTACTTCCTCATTACATAAGTTATATATGCATCATACTATACTGCATAAAAACACGTTTGTATGCGCATATGTAAATATGCATGCGTATGTAACGAGATTTTGCGTGGGTAAGGTAATCAGTTCTTGCAATTATTTTGTTATGATGCCTGGATTTTGTGGAACACTTACATGTGTACCTGTTCAAAATATTTTATGTTATTACGTACTACACAAGGCCCAAAGTTATGATGAGTTGATTAAGTTTTTTGTAAAAAAAATGGGAATCTTTAAGGAAAATCATGTGTTTATGTACCGGCCCAGTCGAAAGCTGTGTGCCTGGTGCACTTTCACAATAAAACATAATAAAGAACAAGTAGCGGTGATGGGAATAGAGAACGAGAAATAGCTGCTGAAATTTGTAGGTCTGATGGGGACGTTAGAACGGAAGGATGGGATGAATTGGAAGCAACCATGCCAAATAAATGCGAAGTGATGAAACCCCGAAAACTCCGACCTTTCCCTGGTTGTTGGTGAGTTGGAATAGAACTCCTCAGTCTTCTACAAGTTACCAAGTCTGCCGGGTCTCAACGCGAATCACTTTCCACATTTTCCGCATGTGTGCTCCATTACGAAATCCATGTACGTGCAACGTGAAGTACAATAAGGACTCTCCGAGGGATGTCTTGTCGTCCGTCGGTTTGTAGCCAGGTTTTTTAAATCTCACAACTTGTCGGAGTAGTCGGTGGTTAAGTGGGGGACGAATATACACACAATTAACAGAGATTCGCGCAATAGTGATTGATTTCGGTAAGCATTAAGTGCCGAGGAGGAATAAGCTTCCCATTTATTTATACACAGACAAGCTGTCTCGTCATAAGCTCGTATACATACATATACAACAGTTTAGTAGTTTTTTTGAGGAAACAGTGGGTTTCAGATGCATTTGCAAATGCTGTTTAATACGTTGAGAAACTTGAGACTACTTCACTCTCCTCCAAACTTATGTAAGTTTTGGCATTTAAGAAACTAAAAGCTACCCGTTAGAAAAAATAGTCAGCCGTGGAAGAAAAATAGAACAAACCAGCTTTCACTCGCATGAAACAAAATATGTCATGACAAAGAAACGTGAGTTTGCCATATGGGTTCAAATAGTGGAAAAGGCACGGCCTCGTCAACCCTCTGTCATCTGTGCCCACACTTAACTTATTTATTACAATACATGAACAAGTACATATTTATTATGTCACAATAGAAGTGTCGACGCTTGATTTTGATGCCTGTTCGTTCTAGTGAGATGATGGTGATTTTATTGAAAACATTTCTGCCAATCGAAGTTTTTTGCTCCAACAGCAATTCACGGTAAGTACATAAAGCGAAGCCATTTTTGCAGACAGTTTTTAAATAGTGAATTAATTTACCTTCAATCATGTATACTCGAATGTTCTCTACGAGCGGAGAAAGTTTTATTACATCGACAAACTATGTATGTACAACATGAATTTTGAGGAAAGGAAAGATGCAGACAGAGTTTGAAACAAATGCGAAACTGTATCGTCAGGCTCAGTGTTTCAACATTCATTAATCAATAATTTTAATTAGTGAATGCTCCCCAGCCCACTTTCCTTACGAAATCAATTTGATCTCAGTAAATAAATGGCCCAAAATTAAAACTTGAGACGAATCGAGAGTATTGAGTCTCCATTACATACATATATCTTCATTATTCGAATCAAAAGTTTCTTTTTCCACTTGATGTACCCCAATTTTTCTCAGATTCATGGCCTTCGATCCAAATCTAACGAGCTGTATGTCAATTTGGAACATTTCATGTAGTTGGATTCTTGATGCAAGCTGACTTTTTTTGCAATATCGCTTTCTCTCAAGTTCGAATGGCGTCTTTGAGGCAGTCATCAGAGTGAGCTTGCGATTTTGGGGCCTTTTGAAAATGAAACGTGAGACCAACTTTCTCTCTTTCTCTCTTCCCTTCACTTCACTGCTCACCAGCCAGGCACATTATAAATGAGCATTTCAGTCTAGAAATTTAGCTCAATTTCGGGTTAGAGATGCACAAATGAAGAAATTCAATATTAGAGGTGGAACATTGCTACTGCTAATGTCGCATTATCTGTACAAACACCTTCCAAACCCTTGACTGATCTCGGTTACAGTACGAGAGGAAATTTGATCTTAGATAATTGGCATATGTACAACTTTAATTATTTTATGTCCTTCCAGAAATACAACATCACGTAGGTATGACTGTGATGCGTAGTTAAGTAGTCATTGTTAGGCAGACCCATTATTTAAAGTTAAATACAAAATACATACGATTAGTATTCAGTCGTATAATTCAATAATTATGAATGCATATGGAGCTAATCTACGCAGGTATACCCACTGTAATGAAATAATTAGATCTTAATTCTTCCTTCTTTCTCAAAACTCCCATTGCATATTAAATTCTCGTCTGGCTCATCTTAGTTCGTCCCATAGTTTGCCAGAAATTTTATTCCAAGACAGTCACAAATTCTAGAATAAGTTCGCTCGAAAGTCCTAGTGGACATTATATAAATTACTTGGGGACATGAGTTGGCTGGAGCGAAATGCAATTAATGTGATGGAAATAAAAATAGAGATGAAGTCTGAAGCCCCGCTCTGAAATAAATGTAGTTTGACTGACTCGACTTGAGAAGAAGCACTCGTGTCAGTTATGTGCATGGAGTTGGATTAATCTTAATTGCTGGATGCAAGTTGCTATTTACTGCAATGGATTCATTTTGGAATTCTGATGCGTGGAAGTAGTAAAGTAAAGAACTCGATAATCATATGTATGGCTGAAGAGAAGCAAACGTGCCAAAACTTGAATTAAATTTGAACACTATTCTTGTGGCCAAGTTAGTTTTGGCAAGCATGTAATCCAACACATAAATATCTAAATATATATGTATATATACTTCATTTAGCCACAGTTTAAGCGGCGATGAGTGTGCAGCATTAAAAAGTTAGCTAAGAATTCACCTTACATTCACAACCTACTTACCCATTGAAATAATTTAAAAGTAGTAAATATATGTTAAAACCTGATTACAAATCTACGACCGATTTTTGAAACAAACCATCTGTCAATCACAGTACAATGTTTAACTTTCCAGTTTGACAGATTGCTCTTAAAGAGCACCAGGAAATCACTGTTCTTCATTTACACATACAATGCAACTTCCTCTCGCATGTTTTCGCTCATTGTACGCTCAGTTCAATGTAAATGATGCTTTACTCGAAACGGATTGTCATCCACAATTAATCTTCTAAAAGGTCTGGCTACGAAAACACTGTACACACGTTCTAAAGACTGAAAGACATTGAACAAATTCATCATGGACAAAGATTTGCTAATGTTTTATGGGAAATTGGATTAATTAATCAGTTCTTTTAGAATCCATAGGTAATAATGCGAGTCAAATTCGAAGCGGTTATTGTGTTAAACTTTTTTAGTAGCACTTATTCAAAACAAAAATGAATGTGCATAGCAAATTTTTCCAACTCTTTAATTATTTTCGAGTCAAGAACCACGCAGTAACGAAGGACGCTTTAATTATTCAAGTTTGTTATCTATTGATGACGGACACTACACACGTTTCGAGCCTTCCCCACATAAATTTTTATTGGAAGGCTAGACCTCTTCTTCTAATTTTCAATCATCTTTAATTTCAACTAGTCACGAAACCCGAGCATTTTAGTGCATAAAAATGGTTCAATTATTAATTGTAGACTAGGTGAATGTCTTGTCTTTAAAAGAAAGCTGACTTCATTTCAAGACGAGCCCCCCAAAAATCTGGTTTTTAATAGCCCAAGTCAAGGCTTATGTACCCACTTTGTCTGTCTGTCTCTGTCACACTCTAGAACCACTGCATTGAACCTTTTTTGACCAATTTACTTATTGGTTTTAAAATGTGTATCTCTACAAGGCATTGGATGAGTTTGAAGGTGAGCATGGTAAACCCGTGGTTGACCGCGCGGTAGGGGTCAATTAAGCGGTGGGGGTAACTAGCACCATGTTTTATAAATTGTCGTGCAATTTTCTACCAGGGGGTCCAACAGGGTTACCCATACTGGGCTTTTTAATTGGTCGGGTTTATAAAGGGTTTTATGAAGCTGATAGCTTTCCTACAATTAGTCCCTGTTACATATGTACAAATAAAATGTCGAATGGGACGAATGAATTTATAACACGAAGTTTGAAAAACGCCGACTCCAGTTTTACTCCTGCCGTACGGTCCTAAGTATGGGAGACAGTTTTTCATATTGATTACCCTTGTAAAACAAGTAATTTTAATTTTTCAGTCAACAGGCCTGGAAAAGACAAGACATCTTTTAGCGATTCCTATGTATAGTGATTATCATGTGAAATAATCTGTTCGATTTTAGCATTACGCTGCACTTTATGCTTATGCATGTGTGTGCGTGGCACAAACTATAAGGTTGATTTTGTTGGCTACTGTTCAACGATTACACGACTTGGTGAACATTAAATACATTATCCAGAACGTCATATACGTCTCGTATTAGAGGTCGCGTTATACAACATTTCAACCTTTCCGTAACAATTAAATCAAAATTTTGATTGTAAGAATTTTCTGGACATTAAGTTCAAGTCAGCCTGCTACTTAAATGCATACAAAATGCTTTCACCTGGTACTTATGTAATGGTCACAGTAAGATGATGAGAAAACGCATGTACGCCGGATGACGGGCATTGAGTCTCAACGTTCCAAAATCTGAGAGACTGTTGTTTGCAATGCACGACACTTTGTTTATTGTTCTGCAGAACCCTTGCTCATTTATCTTGTCTGTGCTGGCAAAGCTCAAGTTCCTCAAGGCTGAACTCACTCCCACTCTCGACGGATGTTCCACTCAGGAGGAGAGTACGCCAACCTGATAATGACAGATCTTGATGTCCTTTGGATATATGGTAGTACCCCCTCTGAAAGTAAAAAGTGTGAAGCGGTTTGATGCCATGGCCCAATTTACGCCCGTCACACCCTTTTGAAGGCGCGCCCGATGCCAAACTAGCTGCACTAAAAAATTTGCCAAATATCCAATTTTGTTCGGATTTTCATAATAGTTACATATTTATGATCCCAAATAGTTGCTTTATCATATCTGATATCAATCTGAACTTTTTTGGAATTTTGAATTTTTTCAAGCCATGCCCTTTTCAGGAAATATTCGAAAATATTGAAAATTTCTGAAAAGTTAATTTTGCAACTGAATATGATAAAGGGACTATCTGGGATCACAAATATATAATTATTATGAAAATCCGAACAAAATTGGATTTTTGGCGAATTTTTTAGTGCAGCTAGTTTGGCATCGGGCGCGCCTTCAAAGGGGTGTGACGGGCGTAAATTGGGCCATGGCATCAAACCGCTTCACACTTTTTACTTTCAGAGGGGGTACTACCATATATCCAAAGGACATCAAGATCTGTCATTATCAGGTTGGCGTACTCTCCTCCTCAAACAGATTGTGCTATGAGGTGACGCTATTAGAATGAACAGATTTTTTGCACTGGGGTTATAAAACCACGCCGAAATGCAAATTATTTGCAACAAAACATGGATATGATCTATATTTCGGTTCGTTATTTACTTATTGTTGATACAACTTTTTTACAGAGTTTTATTACCATCGTACTGCACATATTTCTACATAAATAAACACTTCAATATTCCGTTTCAATTTACTCAAACAACAAAACAAAACGCAGGTGTGTGTATGATTTCGATTTGCCCAATCTCTGGCTGGATCAAACAATTTGTTGTATAAGTATGCAGTTACGGTTGAAAAACACGTTAACTGTCGAGTAGTCGCGTTTAATGGCTTTTGCACCTATTCACAGAAAATGCAAAGTAATTAAAACAGGGTTTAATTTGGGTAGCTGAACAATAGCAAAAAGTGGAAATAATAAAACAATTAGACAAGATTATGAGTGTTCGGATGATGGAGCTGCCCATACCTGGATAATGTCTGCACTTTATAGGTCTTTGGTGTGAGATTAGAGGACGTAGCTGTTAGGGGCGACCTTGTCTCAGGAGAGAGATGATGGTGGAACAAAATCTTCTAAAATTGGACTACTAATGGCTAGTAATAAATTCGTAATGGCTTCTGACATGGTTAAAGAGGGCAAGAAGGTAAATTTGGAAAGCTTTATAATAGTCTCAAACTGAAGGAAAGGATTATCAAGCCAAGCAAAAACTCGAGAATGAATTCGGCATTGGTTTGCCTTTAATAAAAGGAGATCCAAAATCACTGAATCTGCATTCTAATCGTATTTTGCATGAAAATTTTGGGGTGAAATA